TTTCTTTCTGTTTTTCCAAAGTAATTATCGTTATTTTTATGAAAAAAAAAAGGTTTCGGGCTGAAGCCCCTCCCAAAATTAAATCCTGGATCCGCTAGTGCAAGATGGTAAAGTATGGCAAGATCACTCCGCGCTTAAAACGTGTAGAAAGATATATATAACTTACTTTATGAGGTAACAAATGTTATCAATTTGATAAAATCTGAGTTAAATTAAAATATATTTAACGAGAAAGTGAAATTATAAGAAAAATTAAAAATAAAATAACATTGCAAACCAATAATGTATTTATTAAAAATGCATATTGGCAATATTCAATGCGAAGTGTCACTCAGTGAAAACCAATGCTCTAGGTGCCAACATTAAAAGAAAGTCCAGTAATTTCGTTGAATTTGGGCGGTCGACTTATGTATGATGTTAAAATATGGCCAATTAAACAAAGATTTCAAATCCAGGTATTGAATACGAATTACCTTAATATTTGTTTTTATACATCTGAAATAACAGGAATCAGCCAATATCCGCCGTGAAAACACGTTTATTTATAGGTTTAAAGTTAAATTCTATCTTTTATCTTTCTTTTTTTCAGTTATTACCACATAAGTCCATTGAATTTCAATTTTATTGTAAATAAAATATATTATATTTTTATTGTTACAATTATATATGGCAGAGCATATTTTCTTTTTACTTCTGCTTGTTCTGACCACCTTACTTTCAAAATCAGAAAGAGTAGAGTCATCGTACAACAAAAATAAAATTTAAAAACTGCACATATTCCCACCTTTTGCGAAAATCGCATTTCTCCTTCTAATGTGGAATATTTATTTTTACGCATTCCATATGATTCAGGAAGGCAAAAAGTTGGAAATCAAAATGAGAAGCTTTTCGGGAGAAGCCATTAAGAGATTAAAAATTACGAAAAAAAACATTTATAATAAATTTCGAAATGTTTAGTCAAGCAACCAAAAGTTTAATTTCATAATAAAAATTAATTTGTTCGATTTTTTTTTTTTTTTTTTTTGGTTCCACGTATTGATACATAAAACTTCGATTTTTAGTTGTTGTTTTTCTGAGTCTAATAAAAGGATTCAAATAATTGAAAATAATAAGCAAAAAACGGTGATAACTACAAAAATTAAAATGAACTACCTGTATAAATTATTTTAAGCAGAAAACATTAAAATAAATAAATAAACATAATAATTCTATTAAAGATGCTAAAACAAGGATACTTGAATATCTTTTAATAACAGGAAGTGAACCCATATCAGGGAGCACGATAGCAGGGCACGGTCAATATTAGGCAAGGCAACACCGGATATAACACATGGCAGATATAATATATATCTTCCACACATACATATACTTATGCGCATATTCATAACTATATAAAATTGTAAAAACGGTATCTTAAAACAGCTAACCCTTTCCAAAATTACAATAAAACCAGATATTATAACGCAATAAATTAATTCATTTTTTATTTAATGAACAATATGCGAGGAAAGAAATTTCCGAATTAGCAAGGAAATATATTTTTGCAAATATAGCTAAGGATTTATTTGCTCCATGTTCTATACTATAGAATATAAAGCGAGGATTTAAATAAAATATGAATTTTATTTTTATGTTTTACAATGTCAAATTGAGAAGAAACTGAGTATCACTAAGATTATATTTTACAGGACTATAGAAAGAGAAGAAATTGAATTGTAATTCAATATATCTGCTGCTATACCGATAATTAAATTATTCTCAAATAAACAGAAGCAATGAAGCGTCCCTTCTCATCAAATCACTTCAGCAAAATATATATATACACATATACGTAAACAGAAGTTAAAAGAATAGGTCTAAATAAAATAAAACTTTTTTATTTAATTTAAATTACATCGATTTTTTAAAATTATAAATTATTTAAAAATAAAACTTATATCACGATATCAAAATAAAACCGTTACAATCGGTAAAGTCAATAATTATTATTTTACGAATTTTTAAAAATATAATATACTTTTTCTTCTGCGTTTTCTTTTAAACATGGTAAATAGGTATAAACAAATGTGTACTTAATGAAAATTAAGAAATATCTTAAAATTAATTATGTTTATTATATAGCTGCAGATGTTATATTATGTGGGAAAAAAATTGTTGCCTAATAACTGAATAAAACGATTTAATCGAATTAATGTTTACAGCAATAATAAATATCAAGATCGATTAAATGAAATAAATGTGAAATTAAATGAGTTTTCATTCAATTAAAGGAAGTAAAAAAAAAATGACATAAAAATCGAGATCGTTTTAAAGGAGATAATCCGGTGTTCTTGATAAGTTCAATGCTACTTAATTGATTCTCAAAATTAATTGAAAATTAACTTAAGAATCAAAAATTGCTTTACAATTTAATTTTATGATATTTATAAGAATTTTTGATATTATATGATTTTTTGCAGTTAAATACCAACATAAGGAAACAAGAAAGGGATGTAATTAGGGGAAATTATTTCGAAATCAGAATTGATCATCATGATTGGAAATAATTCGAAGAGATAGCTTTTTTTTTAATGAATGCAATCTGTTAGCCAAATCATCGAAGTAAAAATATTCGATTACAGGTCAGACTGGATAACGAACTTGTCCAATCTATTCTCAAATCCAGGTCAACTTTCTTCCACTACTTACCTCTTTCTGTGTCTCAAAAACGAGTTGCCAATAGATTTAATATTCGCATTTTCTTAAATCTAGCAGGCAAAAATATTTTAAAATATGAGATATAAAATTAACAAAATAATAAGATGTAGAATACATCTATTTATATGAATACAAATAGGTATAATACATCAGTCAATTTACACACATACGAGGTTCTTACTTATTTACCTAAGCAGGTAATTGCCATGTAACTTATTTATGTTAAGCCAAATTTTTCACAATGGCTTTTAACATCTAATAATATTGATGCTATATTAACTTAAATAAAATACAAATATTACATTGAATCAGTCATACAATGGAATTCATCAAATAATAGAGCCGTAAATCAATATAAATACATATAATAAAAAGCAGATATGAGTTTTTTTTTTTATCAACATGAACCTATTTAATAAATTTGAAAAATTAAATCGATTTATTAGAAACCACACAGATACACTTTTATTCACGGGTAAAAATTAATTTTAAAAAACGAAACATATGTTAAAAAAATAATATATATTTATCAGTTATAATTATGAAAATGTAACATTACGTTAAATATCGATGGATAATAAATGTTTTCTTGTTTTGTAATACCACTACTTTAGGTCCAAACGAAATTTAAACAAAAATCTCCCAATTTTTCGCGCTATTTTTATTAATAGAGATGCATATAAAAACGCAATGTTTTTCAGTAAATTAATACTACTATAAATAATTTTTTTTTTAAATTACTAAAATGTACAATTATTAGATCACATCACTATATAATAATTTGACATCACTTATCTTGACTATTGATATCATTACGTATCTAATTTTGCAAAATGTAAAATAAGCAAATGAAAGCCTCGATTGAAACAAATATAATAACTCTATTTCAATTCAAACATAGAGAGAAAATCTTCCATCACTTTTGAACAAAAAATATGTCAAAATAATTATATACGAATATTAGAAGTGACATAAGTTTACAGATATCAGTTCATTCTTTCAAAAGTTTTTATTAACCAGGCTAAAGATAGACGAACGCCAGTTTTCCAATCTGTTTATTAAAAGATTACAAAGAAAAACATCTTGGGTAACACGGAATCAAAACAATAATCAATGTTTACTGATAATGATAACAGAGCTACAGGGGTAACAAGATAGGAGCGGGGGGACTGGACGGCCGAAACCAACATATAAGGTCAAAACAGACTGAGAATTAGAACCAGGTCAAATGGACTTTGTAAGCTCTTACGGTTTAATAACATTTATAAGATATTAACAGGATGATAGGTTAAGATATGTGCAGAGGTTAACTCCTCAGCGCCTTACCGCTACCACTTCACCGGCCTCAAATGACTTGCCCTAGATAAAACAAGGCAATAGGGTCTCCAGATATATTTTATTGCATGCATAAAAACGGAGTATAATTCGACAAATGCATCAAGTAATCAATAGACCAGGCAATGCAGGCAATGGCGACCCAGAAAATCAATCCTGAATTAGTTATCCTTAGAGGAGGCTAAAACAGTATATATAACTTACTTTGGATAACGCGGGCCGTAGTGGACTGTTTCTGATTGTTGGACGACATCCTAAGGCTTCTGATATTCCCTAATATAACACAATATACATCGGATTTCCGAAGAAACCCCCAACTTGCACACACACTATTTCCTACGGCTCACAAGATGTCTCACTTAGAGCCCACCAAACACTGCGCATACCGGTGCGCAACCTCCCTATCGTTCTCAGCTTCTTATCTCTGCCGCTACAAGCGCCACCTACTCCCCCGGTATCGTCAGACTCCATTTTTTTTTTTTTTACTTTTATGTTCTCATTTTGTAGAAGAAATTAAACGTAACATGAATGATATAAAATAGAATATGAGGTTCTTTTTTATTCTTAAAATCCAAAAGATAGACCGAATAATTTAGTATGAATAAATTATTTCCCTAACACAATATATATTTAAATTTAATTTAATTTGAAAACTCTAAATTATAAAATTAGGCAAATAATCATGTAAAAAGTTTTTCATTAATAAAATGAATTTCTAACATGTTGATCTGCTGGTGCATTACAGCTTTGTATTTTGTAATGCAAGGTTACTTATTAGTTTATATTCATTTTAGCCATATTGTGAACTTTTAATAAATGGACAATACAAATAATAGAATGGGATTATTCCTTTCTATAAATAAAACCGGCATATGTATTTATATTTAAATATTATCTATGCGTAAATATGATAATATAAAATTTAAAAATGATACAATATAAAATTTTTAAAATTGACACTAATCTGCGTATATTAATAGTAAAAATATAGATATTAAAATAAAACAAATAAATCAGAAAACAGTTTCATTTTTATTTTAAATATAAAGCAGTAATAAAATCTTCATTTTCACTTATTCAGAAATACTGATTCTTTAATTATAAACTACGCTATTCCACATTTATAAAAAAGTCATGCTTAAAGATTACTAAATTGTGCTATACTAATAATAAAATTACTTCCATTTATTATTTTAATAAACCATATATAATAAAATGTATATTCCAAAGCAGCTTTGATTAAAATTTACTCCTAAAATAGTTTAGTAATTAATCAGGCAATTTATACTTTATTGCTGCAAATTAATAAAATCCAGGATTTAATTTTAGGAGGCTTCAGCCCAAAATCTTAGTAATAATCGTTATATATATAATTATTATTTGGAAAGAAAAAGAAAGCAACTAACTACCTATATAAAATGGTGTTTAAGTGATTCATGAAGTCTTATCCAAAATTTAATTGTACGAACATTAATACTTTTAGAGATAATTTTTTATAAGAGATGGTTATATTTATTAGCTGTATATGTATGACCAATGAAAAAATATCTTGTTCATTTTGCAGGGAGCAATGGAATTAAATCATCCTTCCTCCCCCGTAGATTCGTCAAACATATTTAATCTTTTTAGAGCTACAAACATGTTTTTAATATAAACACCCAATTAATACCCATCCTCAATTAATTTTACATACAAAAACTAAAATTAAAAAGGAAATTCATGAATATTTTGAATATATCTATTACGATAATAAAATGATTTAATTGTACCTGTACTGAGTACAAATTCAAAATCTTTCCATCATCTTACATATATCGTCAATACAAATATTAACTATCGAATATGAAAAATTGACATATTATCAATCCTGCATTCTAGCAATTGTAATTGTAATTAAATATTTTTAAACAGAGATTACAAAATCTTAAAGCATCCATAAAAGTACATAATAGCGTGGAAATTAAAGCATCCTCATTGTTTGGGCTGAATGGATGATATTAGAGTGGTAATTTTCAAAATCGATTGTTAGCAATGAATCGATATGAATTTTAATGAATCTTTTATAATTTGTATTCAATCCTAACATTATAATACTCTTTAGACTGTATATTGACGGTTTAGCAAAAATTAGATTCCTGGATGTTGCTTTAACAAATATGAGTGCAGCATTACCCCAAGGTTAATAAGAAAATTAAATTTGTAATATTTAATATTTTTTCAACATAGATTTAATTATTTTAATATTAATTTCAAATTAAAATTTTCAAACCAAAAGAATCTTAAGGTGTATTATAAACAATATTATAAAAATTATATGTGGTTATTCATATTTCATCATATGTGGCACCTTAATTTTAAATAAATAAAACTTAAATAATCAAAACATACTTTTAATTTAAAATATATATATATATATATATATATATATATATATATATATATATATATATATATCATAAGCCTTATTTTCTCTTGAAAAATAATAGACATATAGAAATGATTACTGTCATGGTGGAAATATGCATAAACATACTTCCAAAACTTGGTATATTTGTGGTTTTAGTTCATCCTGAAACAAATTTGTTCCAAACATCAAGTCATTCCATGCAAATTCTTAATGATCCCAAGAATCATTTGCATATCTTCGAAGATTGTAAGCATTGACACTACCCATTACTATATATTTAAATTTACTGAAGAAAAAACACTTTCTACGATAATGAGGAAAGTGTGTTAGTTCCATCTCAACTGAACTAAACTAACTCATTTCAACTTAAATAAGGTGACTTACGTATGTAGCAAATACATAAAAAAAACAATTTCTAACAAATTAAAAAAATTGAGGTGAAATAAAAATCCACAATTTTCACTAATTGTTATTATTAATAATCACATAGAAAACAAGTCATCATCAATTATATTCATTGTAATTATATAATAGTTCAAAGTAAAAATAATCATCTAAATAAAGAATTTCTAAATAGAGCCAGTATTTTTTTTTTTTTTTTTTTTTATTATTTAAGAACTTTTCATTCCTATTATTAAATTAAGCGACCAACTACAAAAGACTATATATATGTATACATATATATAAAATATATATACATATATCTGTGTTCTTAATATCCTTGGAATATTATCAACAGAAGATAAAGGAAGAAACATATTTTCATAAGATAGTCAGTCATAAAAAAATGATCCTAAAATCTTGATCACAGAAAAATTTCACTTGTTTAAACATATTTTCTATTAGTTTCTTAAATACCAGAGCCTCCAATGAGACATTGCAGCATTGAAAAAGAATAATAATAAACAACAAAAATATTTTAATTTGATGAAAGATAAAATTGTTTAACAAATGGATATTAATTTTAATTTTTAATTAACTTGTTAATAATACCCATAACATTAGGATCAGGTTTCAAGCTTTGCTTGCCGCTCAATACTAAATTCAAACTTCAGCTAAGACTCATTTGTTACATTCAAGTAAACCAAATTTAATACAATTATGTCATTATAGATTAGATAAGAAAACAATAAAAGAAATTGAAACAAATTTGAAAATTGAAAGTGAATTAGACAAAAAATCAGGCTTAGAGAAAGGAATCTGAAATACTACTGAAGTGAAATTAAGAAAAAATATCTAATGAAACAAGTATTATTAATAAAAAGAAAAGAAATATTACAGGTTTTGCTTTTCTTGATTATATTGAGAACTTTAGCAGGTTTGTTAATGATCATAAAACAAAAAAAGTGTTTACATGCATCACCCACAACATATGGCAGTAAAAAGTTCCCTACAGTAAAAAAAAAAACTTCAGTTTTAAACCCAAAAATTTAATTGGAAAATCATCAACTTTTCCATATATATCAATATTTTAATTAAAAAAATAGATATTCATTCAAATCTTCTAAGAGCGTAACAAAAAAAAACATACATCAGAAGCAACCCAGAATTAGGAACTGAAAAGAGCTAAAAGTAAGTTTTACAGAAGCTGAAAAAATCAAAAAATTTTCATATTAAATTTTATGAACTGATTTAAGCTAACTTAAATGAACAATCAAAGATAACAAAATAAAAAAAGGGAGTAAAGTTATAATTTTCTTTCTGCAATTAAAAATGCAAGGGTGATGCATTAAAAAAGAAAACAAAGAAGAAATTAAATGAGAACCAATTTGTTAAAAATTAAGTACTACATACAGTGAAATTTCCGATAGTGGAACACTGGCCTTGCCTGCGATATATCCGATCTATACACTACAAACTAACCTATATCCCACAACTCTTCCACCTCTCATTCAGTCATCGGCTTTTTCCAAAACGAAAAGCCCCTACAATAATATTATCAAGAGGGGAACCACTTAATTTACAACCTAATTCGTAGGTGAAATGAATTACACAATGTTTTAAAAACGAAATTATTACTATCCAATGTTAAAAATACTTTTATTATACAATACTATTTACATATTCATTTTACTAATACACTGAAATAAAAATTTAAAAAACAAAATTAAAAGCAACTAAAGTAATAAAACAGCACTAAAGTTGATATACCTTGCAAATATAGATATACCAAATAAAACAACAAGGGCAAGAATATGGCCGATAAATACAAAAAATACTATAAATATGTCATAAATAGCAAATGGTTTCTTTGTTCATTTATAAAATAGCTCATGCTCAATACTTTAATGAAATAAAATTGATTTTATCACCCACTAAGTCCACAGACTTTACAAGACTAACACAAGAGAAATCCAATTCTAAAAAATTATTAAGAAATCGGAAGTTTCACTGTTCAACATTCAGAGGTTCATTGGGGTACTAAGATACATTTACAGTTACACAATTCCATTTTGGAATAAAAACGATGAGTAATTTCAAATGCTTAAATCAAATTGAAAAAGTAAAAACAAAAAATATAAATAAGTAAAAAAAAAATAGTGAAGTCAATGGAAATCATTCCATTATATGTGCATTCCTAAAATTCAAGAATTAAATACCTTATCAGTTCATTTTAAAAATGGGGTTTATTGCATGTTATTAAAAGATTCAACAAAATGATTTTTTTTTTTTCAAAATAAATATAGGAACGAATTGAGGAATGTAAATAGTACAAGATGTACAAATTTTCTATAATCATACAGCTTAAAACACTTATTTACTATTACAGTCTCACGACATAAGGAAGTGCATTAAAAAAAATATTATTTTTTTTCCAAAGAGTCGCTATTATATTTAATTAAAACCACAATTTACATGTATTAAAAAATGAAAGAAAAAGAAAATGTAGGTCTATATGTATGAGAAAGATAGAGAGAGACAATAAGATTGATCGTTGATGAGACTTCACTGATACTTGTACTGGGAGCTCTTGCTGTATGGAATGGGGGCTTGTCCTTGGGTGAAAGGGGCTGCCCCATCAGGAGGATAGACCCCGCGGTAGATACCAGCACTTGAAGGGGGAGCTCCTGCACCCAAAGCCTTACCGTGGCTACCAAGGGCGCTCCCGCTACTGTGGCCTCCACCACTGAACTGGCTGTAAGTAACAAATACATATTAACTAAAAAATTAAAATTTAGTTCACATTAAAATATCAATAAATGCTAAATTAATTTATAAAAAATAAGTGTAATAATAATTTACTGTACTATGATATAACCATAAATAAAAATCAATCCAAAAATAAATATACATCAAGAGATTTCAAATACCATTATGAGAAATCATTATAATCAATTAAATTGGCAATCCAATTTTGAGGTATTATATCAAATGAGGTAAACAACTATAACATTTATTTATGTTGGAGTACACCTCCCTCATCCTACCCATAACAAACAGGAAACAAAGAAGATATATTAATAAAGGCAGAGACCTATGATATTATATTCACTATATTAAGATATTAAGACTATACTGTAATAAATATAATTACTGCTGGAGCCTCAAAACAGATTTGCCAAGAAACCAAAATTATAGAAATTTTTAAATAAAAAACTATTTAGTCAGCAATATATTTATATAAATACAAAAATTCATTATCATTTTACTATAAAATTTTATGTTTATTTTTAAATTAAATATTATATTTTCTTTTTAAACAACCTTATTTATTTACTTTTAATTTATACATCCCATCAATTACAAAAGAATGGTGAAAACCTTAATATGTCCTACAGTACTATGTGTTGCCCAACAATATAAAATTATTTTGATGAAAATAGCATAATTTTTTCCCTCTCTTTTTAATATTTAAATTCAGTTTATTCAAAATATAATAACACCTACACCTAAAAATAAGAGGTTTCACTATATGATTTTTCACATATTAAATAAAAAGAGATGTACATAGTAAATAAATTTAAATGGCAAAAATATTATGTATTAATCTACTAAAATGAAAGAATATAAGAAATATCATAAAATCGTGATAGCATTAAGACCATTCCATATGCATGCAAAATCTAAATTGAAACTGACATTACAGAAGCAGTGACAAAATTATTTGTTAAACGGCAATTAAAATTATAAGGCATAAGCTATATGAATCAAAGCCAAATATACCATTAAAAATTATACCAGATTAGTTTTGTTCAAAGGTGCATGCATATACAATAGATGTTTTGGTATTGACAATGGACGATTTATACATATGGAGTGGTCGATTACAAAATAGGTGTCCATCAACAAAAGTTGACATGAATTTTTTTAAAGAATAATGTAACATCAATACTTGAAAAAAATCTGTTTTCAGCCACGAATTATTAAAAGAGACATTTAAAGTCAATAAAAATTGCATAACAAAAATCAGAAAAAGAAATTATCAATAGGACTGTTGTTTAACATTTTGTATCACTGATTTGGGATCTAAGGTTCACACTATTGGACTTAATAATTAAGATATTTCCTTGTTAGTGAGTTACCATTTTTAACTTTTCAAAATGTTAGTCACATTTCAAACTAAAAATGATCCATAAGCATTAGCTACAAGTGAGACATTACATGCACAGTTACAATCACTAAGACAGAATCTACAATATTTGGTGAGAATGCTCTGTCTACATCCTTAACATATTTACTTCTACAGCTTTAAAATTAAATAAAATGTTATTAAAAGAAAAAACAAAAATGTTGAAATACCTTTTTAACAATTTTAATGGTAATGTAAACTATTTAATGTTTTATAGCTTAAATTAAAAATTCACATTAATTTTTCTAGCTTCTGGCAATTAACATTAACCTTGCTTAAATTATTATTTTTTTATGAAAGTCAAATAGAAGAAATAAATGCAATCAAACCAATGAACAAATAGTTACACAGTAGAATCCCATGGGTCCGTAATGTGATCAGGGCTGATCAGTTATTAAAATTTTAATAAAATTTATTATATCAATGTAAAATTAAGTGAGTTTTAATATTAGTCAAGTATTATTCTTATTGAAACACTCTGACATGGCTTATATACCAAAATTTCTTCTAAAGTACCTGTAATTTTGTTTTTTTGAAGGAATTAACTATTTCATAGTGTAACTAGTAACAAAATTGGTTAAATATAAGCTATGAAAGAATTTGATAATTAACTAAAGGACAAATAAGGGATGGTAATGGGGAACTGAGTACGATTGAAGACATCCAACAGTATGTTTGGTAAGAGATACTTCCAAATGTAACATGCGCATAATATGATATATCAAACATGAGGAATTGTGGGCTCCAATATTGTTCATATATACATGTGTGCTTTTCATAAATCCTAGCACTGTTATTATTTAATACTGACTTGTATAGATTATGGATATATAAACAATACCTCATGAAACTTGAAAAAATATTGTTAATTTAAATAGCTTAAGACCACAACATTTTTTCATCAAATAAATAATCATTTTTTATGAAAATACACCCACATAAATTGAAACAGTGGTTGGAAAACAAAATAACATGTGGAATTGGATGGAAAACAGATTACCATCCAATAATTTCAGGAATGGAAGCCCTAGCAATAGTCAACACCTTTCAACAATGTCCGTTCTACAATCATAAATTAAATAAAACAGCAGTATTACAAAATATTTCGATAGCCTCAGGGAACAGTGGTAGACGAGCTGATACAGTTATAACAATTCTTACCAGTGTAAATTTAATGAACAGATATGATGATCTTATAATAACTAATATTATTATTATTATTATTATTAATATTTACTTTTATTTATTATTTTTCAATTATTGTCGTTATTTAATAAACTTGACTTAATACTTTATCAGTTGAAATTAATTACCTAGATGAATGCCCAAAACAACAATAATCAAACAGCTAATTTTAAAATAAAACTTTAAGGTTTCACAATTAATGATCTGAAGTACTGAACAAACACAATCAAGAATAAAATGTTAAAAAAACTCATAAAATTGTCCCAAACTGATCCAAAGAGGATTTCTGAACATACAGAATATCCATAATATCAATGTTCACTATTATGATCCAATCTATGAATAGTCTTGATGTAAAAGCTATTTAACTATATTGTTAATATACTAAAATAATAACTAAATGGTTTTTACAATAGATGTAGATTCCTTAGGTTTGATGTAGAAAAAAAATAGATGGAATATAGAAATTAAATTAGTTATTAAAGCAAGATAAGGTTTTTCAGAAAAAAAAGATAATGAATTTTCAAAATTAATTAAAATTGGCTCATGCTCCAGCAGTAATGTCCTTAAAAATCATTCGTATATCAAAAAAAAATAATATTTACTATTATCACCAACATATTCACAACTGCCAGTTTTTAATCCAAGAACAAAATTACATTTAAAAAAAAATGAATAAATATAATTAATAAAACAGAGAAAATATCAATAAACCATTACTTGTAGTAAAATGTGTAACTTAATTACAATAACATAATTAAATAAAATAACAGTAATGTAATTTTAAGAACGTAAGTGATTAGAATATTATATTATATACAGTAGGTAGGCTATGGGTATGTTTAAACATAATAAAAATCTTCAATCATTCCGAACTTTATTGAAAACACCAGGCCTCCAAAACAAAGGTCATTATTAACACGAGGCTTTGAAAAACGGGACTTATTTCTCTTTTTAACAGCCTTAAAATAGAATATGAGCAATTAAAGAAATCTTGATGATGTCATAAAATATGGAACTTACACTCTATTTTGGAATATTTTAATGAGTTGGTGGTTCTAGTTTTCCGAAAACTAATAAAACATCATATTAAATGTTTTTTTTTCCTAAACCATGGTCTGATCCCACATTAAAAGCAGAACTTCATCCTCTATCCCTATTCTAGGTGCATAAGGGCACTGGAAAGTACAAGGAATATTCTTTCACTGAATGGAAATGAAACCTAGTTGATTTTAATTATTTCAAGCTTTACTCTTATGGCCTAATGGATTGAAAAGAGTTAGAAATAAATAAAAGTCAGATAAAGGGATCAAATTTAAGTTTATTATTGGAAGAAAGAAAAATCTATGTATACGTGACCTAAGAAAACTTTCATTTCACCCATTTCAAAACACCCATTTTTTTAATTAGACGTTTACTTTCTCTGCAAAAGCAAGCTGAAGGCAACCTTTGTGCTTCAGCTTGTTTTGGATGATAAATATGATAAAATTATTTAAATTATACAAAAGAACATTAGGTTACATTTGTATTAATTATAACTGATTATTTTAGATTTTCTTTCATTTTTAACCAATAATTCTAACATTTTCGTCTTGTGCAAATTAGCTTCAATTTACCTTCTCTCTTGATCCTGGTCTCTTAATGTCTTCATTTCAATGTAATCACATAACAATCTCAGCTTTTTAACTGATGTCCACAAATAAAGGTTTCTACTAGCCAACAGGGATCTCCCTCCTACCTGTCAGATACAAAGTTCTTTCAAACATACTCTTCACGCGTTTGCCACCCCATGCGGAGAGGATACTCGGCCGATACCAGTGTGGATTCAGAAAAGGCAGGACTACAACAATGAAATATTCTGCCTCAGGACGATCTGGAGCAAGGAAGGGAATTCAATATTAAAACTCACCACCTTATAACGTGAATAGGGAAGAATTGTATGAGTCTTTAAAGCATTTTAAAAAATCTAGCAAGCTCAGAAGCCTTGTAAGGCTTACAATGAACGTTAGCTGCATGGTTCAAACCAGTGGAGAGGTCGGAAGAATTCTCCTCAGGAAAATGATTGCTCTAGAGACACACCTTAGCATGCCTTCTCTTTGATCTTGCGTTCGAGAAAGCAGTGAGAGATGCTGGCATACAGACCAAAGGCAACATCTTTAATAGATCAGTGCAGCTCCTAGCGTACAGATGATATAGACATCCTGAGACATTCCTTCCAGGCTGCATCGGACGCAGTATGTCCTGCAAGAATTGGCTTGGAAGTCAACATTGCCAAAACAAAATATATGGTCAAAGAAGTGCCAAGGTCTGGTGAGAAGGTGACCTTCGAAGACTAAGAATTTTGTATATCTCGTCTCATTGATAACTCTTAGTCTTTGAAAGAAGAATCCTCAGATGTATCTATGGTAGTGTTCTCGTCCAAGGAGATTGGAAAAGGAGGAAAAACCAGGATCTGTATACTATGTTTAAGGAGGCCGATATAGTTCAAGGGATGAAGGTTGCAAGACTGAGATGCGCGGAACACATCATCGGAATGGGCAGAGAGGATCCACCAAGAAAACAGCTGATGAGCCACTTTATAATACGAGGAGAAAAGGAAGACCAAAGATGGATTGATGGTGTTACTGCTGATGCAACAAATGCGCTGAGGCTTCGGAACTGGATGGCGGGTGCAAGGGATCAAGTAGTAGTCTTCTCTTTCTTTTATCATTCCATACTCTTAAATCAATTGGACGATTACATAAATTTTTAATTTTTGTTTATCCTTGAAGATAAAGTTATCAAAATAAAAACACAGGTCAAAATTTTTTTTATTTTTTTTTTTTTATGAATATTTACAAAGATTATCGGCATTAAAGAAAAGAGGTGGGAAAAGAACTGCACCACTAGAGTGAAGAACCGGTATGTCATGAATTCCAGTGCCTTGATAATGTCATATAATTTTTAGCCTAGAATAGAGTTTCCAGCTTCAAAACTTCCTTCCAAGAAATGTCTAAATACAAATATATAGTTTAAAATGTATTATATTAGCTTTAATAAATAAGAGTGAGGCAAACTTTGAAAGTTTTGTGTTAGGCTGGCGTATTAGTCACACACACTAGTGTACATAGACCACAACCACAGTCCTCACCATACATCCAGGACAGGGAATTATTTTCCTTAATGATTCTTCTTTTTTTCTTCCTTCTAGGATACCTCTAATTTTAAGGTCTTTCCCACTATTAAATGCTCAATCATACCTAATCCTTCCATACTTCTTCAGAAATCTCATTTTTGAATGAAAGTTTAATTCTTGGCTTTTCTCGGACAGGGAATGGATGAGCTTACTCGAGATAAGGACTAAGGTCTTATAGAAGGATTTTGGGTAACCACAGCCACTAATGAGTACCTGGATCGATAAGAACCAACTTAAATAGAGTAGTTTAAACACAATACTAACCACACAATTTATATCAAGAAAATTATAAGATTGAGAATAAGATATTTATACACAGGCCTGGCATTTAACTGGTTTATCATGATCATTAATAGGACTTCTTAATCTGTTCAACTGTAAGTTATTATCAGAAAATGCAGTTGTTAAGATATAAAAAAAAAAGTTAAAAACACTTTCATTAAGACAAAATAAAATTCTTGAATAAAAACAAAGTTTAGATGCTAAACCATCAGTCAAAATTCTAGTCTGAATAGGAAAGATGCAAAAACAACTTCAGACAAAGTTATGAAATAGTAAATTTCTACTCTGCTCATGCGTTCTAAAAAGTACTAAGAATATTAAAATTAATCAAAACCTTTATTAAACAGATGTTACACTCTTTTGTGACTTTGCAATGATTTTAAAATATCAATTGAATAAAAAATTTAATTAAAGAACTATATCTAGGAGAAATCAATAAATCTGTAAATAATCAAACCACAAGGATTTTTTTACTTTCCTACCTATACTAAGTAAGGAAAGTATTGTAATCGGGTAAAATTTCTGACATGCGGTTTTCGACGGATCTATACGTTTCACAGTCTCCTGAGTCCGAAAAACACATTTTTAGCCATTGGTCTGTCTGTCTGTCCGTGCCAAGATTTTCTCGGGAACTACTGAACCGATTTTGTTGCTTCTTTTTTTGTTTTGTAGGATTTTGCCTACTGATGCCTGTGATAGATATTCGTTTCTCCATGCGCAATAAATGAAAAACATGTTTTTCTATAGACTGTAGCGCAAAAACGGCTCTAACGATTTTGATGAAACTTTTCTATGATGTTCTAATCATTGTCCTTTCAATTTTCGTATATAGGCTAAATTTCCAAAAAAATTTATAAAAAAAAGAAAAATGTTATGAGGCCTAACTCCGTAAGTATATATTATACGGTAAAATTTATAATAAAACTTTTGAAAGGTATTTAAATTACCAACAAAACAAAAAAAATCATCGGAATCGAACCAGTATTAGCGATGATACAGCTTATTCTATTTTTTACTTTCCTACCTATACTAGGTAAGGAAAGTATTGCAATCGGGTCAAATTTCCAACATGCGGTTTTCGACGGATCTATACGTTTCAGAGCCTCCTGAGTCCGAAAAACACATTTTTAGCCATTGGTCTGTCTGTCTGTCTGTGCCAAGATTTTCTCGAGAACTACTGAACCGATTTTGTTGCTTCTTTTTTTATTTTGTAGGGTTTTGACTACTGATGGCTGTGACAGAAATTTGGTGCTCCATGCGCAATAGCTTGCGCGCAATAAATGAAAAACATGTTTTTCTATAGACTGTATCTGTTGCCCACATCACACAATCTTCACTATTTCCTTTACTTTTAACAGAAATGTTTGTTTGACAATACTAAGCTATGGCAAAAAGTTTATGATCAGCAATATTAGGCAATTATGATTAGCAATATAATGTAATACCTTAAACCGGTTTACATTGCTTTAGTTTATCAAATAAATCGTACTCAAAGCTTATGTTTCATCAATTTTCAGGAAAATGTATCTTGTTCAATTCTTTTTTGTTTCTTCATGAACACATGTAAAGATATAAAAACTTTTCTGAAATAGGTAGGAAAGTCGTGTGAGTGGACACACCAGATTTTTTTAACTAAAAGTCAATCATATAGTTTAGTTAAAACTATTTATTTTAACAGATTTTGATCATGTTCTAAAAATAATTAAAAGGTGTTATTATAAAAAGAAATTTCAAGGGCCAGTTTAAGAAACAAAAATTGGTAAGTTGTGAGTTAAAACATAAAATAAAGTAGTACAAAAAAATTAAACTGAAAGAAATCAATGCTAAATAAAATCAAATACATATAAAGTTTGATAACTTTTATTAACTTCAAAAACCAACACAATATCACACACTTTTAGTATCAACTTAATATTAAAATTTGTTAAGAGTCCAATATCAAGATTTCCCAAAACCTTTTCTCCATTAGTCCTTAAATAGCATAATTTAACTGTACTGTATCAATACAAGCCATAATTTAACTTCTGTTGATAATTTTTTTTTTAAATTTATACTAAAAAAATAAATTATTGAAATTTACATTAATGAGAAGCATCTAATTTTCAAGTAGAATGTTTAACTTGTGAAAAAGTAATCCCAAAAATAAAAATGATTTAGAAAACAATTTTTAACATAATACTCTAATAATTATTTTAAATCTTTTTATCTGCAACAATAACATACAAACAAAAAATAAGCTTAAAGGGATGTCAAGTTCCATTGAGACAATTAATAAACTAAAAGAAATTAGGTTAATAATTAAATGATAGAAACTCTCACGGTCCATGAAAAAAATAAATAAATAAACAAAACTACTAAATATATATTTTTAAAACAGATTCTTTTCAAAATAATATTGAAAATCTGTACATAATTATTAACAACATGAGGGACTATTAATGTAAAAAAATTTCATGTCAAATTTTATTTCATGATAAACACCATAAAATTAAATGATTTATTTAAGTATTAAACAAACCATATTTACTCTATTCAATTGATGTGTTCCATAGGACTGGGTTGGGGTGGATAGTAAGAAAAGAGATCTGGCAACAATGGATCTCCACTGCGTTTCTTTGACCGTGACTGTTTCTTAGACTGCGAGACGCTTTCTTTGACTGAGCTGATTACGGATCTGATGTCATTAAAATATAAACTTTACTTAATACAACTTCTGGCAAAACACAATCAAAATTATACAACGTAAAAAATATAAGTACAGTGAAAAAAAATTGAATGAAAAATAAATGTTAAAAGAGCCTTGTGCATCATGGAGGTGTATCAAAACCAATTGCTACTTGCAAGCAACCACCACAACAGACAAGACCCAAACACAATCTATCACAGTTTAGAAGCAATGGATTACTGATCCTACCTTTGGTTAAAACAGAATTAACAAAATAAACAAATAATCTATAAATACCTTTGAAGATGTGGAGGGTACTGTGAATACTGGCTAAAAGATGATGAAGAAGGCATCATTCCTGAATAAGGTCCATAACCTAAAATTAAATAATCGTATATTTTTTGAAGAAGTAACTTTAACACCAACAAGCATATGTTAAATGATGAAATTGAGCAGCATATCGTTGATATATTGCAATAAGAAATATTCTATTAAATTAAATCAATAGGTAACTTGATTAATCTCCCTTCGTTAAATTAAAACCACAACATTTTGCACTTATTATTGGTGATATTAGTTATATTTATACTACCACCTCCAAGCTTCCATAAAACAGTCAGAAATAATAAGGCAAAAATAAATAATATTTATTTTAACATTTGCCGATGTTTCGACCTCAAGTTCAGGCCTTCATCAGGGCTCTTCCACGGGGTCAACTACCAGACAACAACCGTATGGAAGAGCCCTGATGAAGGCCTGAACTTCAGGTCGAAACGTCGGCAAATGTTAAAATAAATATTATTATTTATTTTTGCCTTATTATTTCTGACTGATCGCCCCAACCATCCTTCTCTTCATTATTCAGGACAGTCAACCATTAACCCACAATTATAATATAATACATGTAGAAACCTCCAGTTAAAGTGATTCACTAAATTTTGTATTTTTTTAGTAGTTTTAAAATTTTCACATATAATCAAGGAAACTTTTGCAGGCCGGGTTGGAGGTGCTTGCTGGATACGACCTATGGGACTTAGTTTGGAGAGTCTTGCTCTAGGGTAAAGGCGATTACAAATAAAATAAAAAAAGTTTTTTTATAAAATAACATTGATATAACTCTCTTTGTTAATCTAGAACACCAAAACGAATAACACTGCAAAATTCACTTAATGATGATTCATTTAGGTTTAAACAAATTTACAACAATAAATCAGATTTGGACTACCACTGCTCTCAGCTAATTGCTTAACATTTCTAATGCTTCATCACAAAATGTTAAAGCAATTTAGGAAAACGAGAGATTGATAAAAATGAAGGAAAACAACTCCAACAACCAAACATTTTCTTAAGATCACTTTATTTTTTTTAGGGGACACCAAAACTGTTGTTTATGTGAATTCTCGACAAAAACAAATTTATAAACTGATTAAGTAACTGGTAATATAAATAAATTGGTTAAGGAGAAAAAAAAATACTAAGGTAAATGCTATTTAAATATTAATTTGTAATGAAATTGAGAAGAAAAACATTTTTGTTAATACCTTGCTGCTGCATCTGAAGCTGCTGCTGAGCGTGAGCATGATGGCCGTGCTGCATGCTTAGCCCTTGGGCAGCCAGCTGCTGCTGTTGCTGCATCATCAGTCGCTGCGCCTGTTCAGCAGCAGCCTGTTGTTGCTGAGCCTGGTCTTGTTGCTTTACATCATCACTCTTAGAGATAGGGGTTTCTGCAAAAATATGAAATACATCACCATACCATGAAAAAATGAAAAATTGATTGGTACTTTAAATATTTACAGACTTTAATAAAAATTATTGGTAAATATGGGTATCTTTACACCAATAGTAGAAGAATGAGGTGGAACAAGTTGGGTTTTTATGTTTTCGGGATAAACATTCAAGACTTAAGTACATTTTCCACAGAACATACCGGGTTCTAGGTTTAAGAGCACTAAAATTTATAGTTTTCAAAATATCTGATAGAAGAGTTGCTATGAGATATTTATCACGTATCTCTTGGGTTTTTAAAAATGAAAATATTTCTATTTATTATCATCTATGAAAAATAAAAACGTATTGAAAAGGTTAACTAAGGAGAACCGGCCTGAGATTGTTAGGGCACCTATGATGATAAAGAAACAAACTTAAAAAAAAAAAAAAATAGTTTGTGGACATATTTTAATTTTACAGCATGTTAATATCGCCATGACGAGGATTGATTTTGTCTCCAGATTAAACTTCTATATTACATTCTTAATAAGTGAAAGAACTACAAATCGTGGATGCTGTTTTTCAGCACATGCCCAATAGATCTCAGATAGAACAATACTGGATCAGTACAAATTTTCAGGAACTAGAGTTTATAGCTTACTTAATATTTACAGTAAACTGTTACTTCAACATAGCCGTGATTTAGTATCTGTACATAGTACATATATCTGTCAATTGTATTTGTTGGATAGACTTTCTTGATAATATATTGTTTAAACACATAAAAAAGTTTCTCTATTATTGCTTATACTTGGAATATTCTGGAGGAAAAAGGATAAATATCTAATGTGAAATTTCATCAAACATCTATAACATTTTAACGCTCCTATTCACAAGAATGAACCTATTAATGAGGATTAAGAAAGGTATAGAAAGAGGAATGTTTTTATTAATTTTTGTTTTGAATGAAAACAGGATCAATTTACTCTTATGCTCCTTGGTAAATACTTTATCTATCTACTTTAGGTAGATAGATAAAGTATTAAAGTACTATAATCTGTATCTACTTTAGGTAGATAGATAAAGTATTAAAGTACTATAATCTGTATCTACTTTAGGTGAACGGTGCCTGCTTGAAAGGACGGATTACAATAAAGAGTGAAAACTAAGGCTTGCTGATTATATTTTATGACAGGTACTATTCTGATTAAGAAACAAATATATAACCAAAGATGGACACTGCCTAATCAATAACAATTAATAAATAATTAATAAACATAATAACAATTAACTAGGAATTTGAATCTAGATTATTGATATTAGGCCATTAAAAGAAGTAAATATGACCACCAACTACTTTCTTTTTACCAATAAATATCTAAAAAGCAAATTAGAAAGTAAATTATATAAAAAACAAGAGAGAGAAAGGCTATAAGAAGTAAATATATAGCATGTTTTTCAAAGACATTGAAAGAATTATAAGAGAAACTAATGTGTAGAAAAAAATTATATATAAATCAAAGACAAGTGACAAGTGAAAAACGGAGGTAAAAAGGAGGTAATTGGCATTGGGTATGAAAAAACAGTTAAAGTATATCTATAAAAGTATAAGTATAGCCAGGAAAAAAAGTGTAGTAGACTATTCTACTCCTAAATAAATCCCAAACAGGAAGACATTACTAGGTATAACAAAACTAATAGACTGTATCTTTGTTAATAATTGTCCGATTTTTTTTTTTTTTTTAATTTTGTATGCAATTTAGTAATCTTTTTAATTATCATGAGTACAATCAAGAAAAAAACTGCATAGTTTTTTAATTATTCGCAAATAAAGTTTCTTTTCCTTCATAACTTTTTTCACAGAAATTGAATTTATGGCGTACCGACAAAAAAATACCTTTTAGAAATAATATATAGAATCTTATCTTTCTAAGATTGATAATTATAAATATGTTCAAAGAAAATGGAGGTATAAGAAGAATATAATATAAATGATTTATTTAAAACAAGAACCAAAATCATATATTTAAATAATAAAATAAGGTCAATCAGAATCACTAAGGACTGAATGAATCAATAAATAAATCAAGGAATCAAACCAAAAATATAAAATAAAAAACAAGGATAATTATTTATTCAAAGTAAATTAAAAATATTATTTACCTTTGCCTGAATCAGGTTTTTTTTCATCAGATGCTTTTTCATCTCCCTGAAGAGGATCAAACTCTTTAGAACTGGCTTGGTTTGAGATTCCTCCATTCGGCTTATTGTCATCTGAAATAACAGCAAATTAGGAATCTATAAACCTCATTTCAAATGGGATGGCTATGACAGACAGATGAAATAAAAAGGAAAGAAATTTATATTAAGTTCAAGATTTTTTTAGCCTAAATAAGACAAATAGTAAAAAAATAATTAAAAATGATCTTTAAGGGATGGATATATTGTTTCCAAAGAACAATGTAAATGTGCATTCAATTTTGTAGTGGTCAGAATATATTATTAATAATGAATCAAACAAGTCAAAAATTACAAAATGAGAAAATGTATATATGTATTGCTAAATTATATTTATAATTGTATTTAAAGGAAGTTAAAGAAACTTTACAGATGCCAATGGGTGAAAAATTACAAAACAAAGAAGTAAATATAATAAGATTTTTTTTAAAAAACATTTCTATGAGAAAATGTACAGTAGAATCTCTATCAAACTTTCATTCATATAAAATCTTAATATATCTTTATTATTAGTTAGAGAAAAATATCTCTTATATTGAGTAAAATTTCATTAAATCGAACAAAAAGTCACATTTAAAAAATATATAAATATAATCGGAGGATCAAATGGATAACAGCGATATTTTTGGAAGAATTGAATTGTTTTTATGATAAAGATATAAAGTGCCGTATTTTCAATATTTGCTCCTTCCAGTCACATAAATTCAATAGTTGGAAAATCCTATATATTAAAAGTGTTCAAGGAAATAAAGAGAGTGGTATCGGTGGCGGTGACATTTGCAGACCCCACGACCAAAGCTCCTGAAAAATCTATATGCCAGAAATGGCTAAGTAGGGTAAACAAAAAAAAAAATGGAAAATCCAAATCCAATAGAAATTGTTAAAAATAAACAACAGGAAGATGAAGCTATTTATTTATATGCCTATTAAACTAAACTAATAAAATGTCGAGAGATAATACCTATGAAAAGGCGAAAATACCTGGAAGTAGATAAGTAATAACATTTTCAATATATCAAAATTTAGAAAGAATTAGTTTAGTCAATAGGAAAGAAAACGTGATATTTGAAAATTAAAGTTAGACAGGAGTAGATGAATTTGGAGATTTTGGATAAAGAAAGAACTTTCTTTATTCCATTACACATATTGTCCTGCAATTAATATTCAAAATCTAAAAATAAATTCATCTAAAAATTTAATAACAACCTGAGTGAGGAAAAAGTTGTGAACCTAAGGAGCAATCAAGTACGTTAACAACATAGGTTGGATTAAATACACATAACAGATAACATGAAAAAATCTGTTAGAATAATATAATTAATATTATATATATATATATATATCTAAGAAGCTACTTCCATCATTCTCCCTACTGTTAGAAATTAGATATCACCTTACTTAAAGGATGTATCAGTGACAAACATTAAATTAAATCTCCTAAGAACAATTATAATGTTAGCACTACTTAATCCTTCAATTGTCATAAAAAAAAAAAAAAGAAGCCTTAATATACATTCATAAGAATGTGTAATAACTATATAAGACAAAAAAAGTTACACTATTTCACAAAGAAATGTAACAAGTAACAACGGAACTAAATTTTTCTGAATTAACTAACACAAGCGAGAAATTTTAATTTAATTCAGTTTAACTTAATTTTTCTTGTTGTGAAAACGGATCACAAACAAAAATCATTATGTGTGAATGAAAAGTTTGACTTGGCATAAGATGCAAAAGAAGAATGAAAAATAAAAATGTGACAAAAAAATAATAAGTTGCAACAAGTATGGTATCAACACACTAATTATTAAAACATTTGGTAGTTGTGAGGATAACAATAATTTATACCCTCATTATATAAAAGTTATTATTACAAATTCTAACCTTTTTTTTTTTTTTTGTCAGAACAAGATCACAATAATCTTGCTATTCAAACTATGCAAAGTAAAATGGTTGATGCTTTTATGATCTAGTTTTAGAGTTTTGATAATCAGCCTCTCAGCTATTTATCAGGCTAAACATCATACAGAACTTAGATTCATCAAAGAAACACCGTTATAAATAAATGATCATTTACACTGATTGCTTATCATGACATAACAGCACAAATATTCATATCTTTTTTAAATACTATAACTTCTACCAAATTCTGTATATTACCATTCCTCCTGCTATATCCACTCTCCCCTAACATGTAATATATTTTACAATTAAAATAGCTGATTTAATTTTTTTTTTTTAATATCTGTTAATGAATTTTCTCATAAAAAAATTGAAATAGTATCATTTGATTTTTCTTAAATTTTGATCCATCAAGAACACCTCAATATGTATAGCTATAATAAATTAATTTAGCGTAAAGTTATAGAATGAAAATAAAGCAAACAACAGTAACACAGCAACAGATCTTCATCAAATAAATTGTTTGTGTATTAGTTCGACCTCTATAATGAAAACAGTATTTATTTAATTATAGAAATAAATGGCTGAAATTTACACCAAATACATTTTAAAGTAGTTAAAAGCAATTAGTTACATTAGTCTAAACATATAATTCCACATGAATCAATAAATCAAACTGATGCAGGGTTCATAATAATAATTATGACAGCAAAATAATAAACGAATCAACTCCCAAACTCTATTAAACCTTCACCATAATATTACAAAAAATAATGATTATTGTAGTCGTATCACCTAATTGATTATCTCAAACTTTGCTGAACTATGTCTCTTTGTTGAAAATTCTAAAAGAAATTATTAACAAAAGCAAAATAAATTAAAGTTCATTCTTTATTTATTTATTTAACTTAAACCAAAGAAAACTAATTGAGAAATACAAATAAAACCAATGTTTGAACAAATTCATATCACCAACCAGTTATCTAATTCTGTGCAAAAATAATGACAGAGCAAATCTTAAATCAAAACAGAGAACCTAATATTAAGGAAAAATTATAATTCCTATTATTTAATGTTTTTTAGGGATCAATCATCACACACCTGGAGAATTTTAAGGTTAATATATGCCTAACCTTATTTATTAAAAGGAGCATCAATTCTGCACTCAAAAAAGAGACATGGTTCCTCAATATCATACAACTAAAAATATAACACTACAAATAAATTTGATCTAACCTTTCATATTAGTCCAAGGAGGATCGCTCTTGTTATTTGGGTCCCCCCATCGACTTTTTTTCGGCCTTGATTTCTCCTCCCCGTCTCTTAAATCATTATCCCAATCACTATTTCGCTCTCTGATCTTACCGCTGCTATCTAAACATATCAGTTCGATTGTCTAACTTTTTTTTAAATGAAAGAAACTGATTTAACTAGAAGTCTATACCACCATGCACATTTCTATTTACATAGCGCACATAATGGATAATTGAAAACTATAACATAATAACTTAAAGCTTGAAAGACTTCGAATTAGAAATTACAAATTTCTCACAGACTTCTGGTAAACTAGCGTTATAATACATGATTACTCTAAAGCATAAATTGCTCCACATCTACAATATTAGTAGAGTAGCCCAAAACTCTCCAGGTGCGCATAATTGTCCCATTCTACTACATCATTAATTGCTGACCCATTACTTGTGCAATTGATAAGGAGAAAATAGTTCAAATCACAGATTTGAATAAATAAAAAAGGCATGTTGGCACACACTTACAACAAAAGGTTAAGTAATCACACAGTATGATTAAGTAAACATAAAACCGAACAAATAACACTCCAAATTTAATTGGTTAATACATATAATTAGCACAATTATTTGTTAAAAACAAAGTTAACAAAAGAGAGCCAAGTATCACAAAAAAATAAAATGTTAGTTGTCAGGATTCATAACAAGGTTAATAGATGATAAAGTACTTACTTTCCAAAGCAGTATTGGATGAATCTCCGTAAGTTCTAGGTTCTATGATATCAAGTAAATGGTTTACTTGGTCTCGAATTGACCGTAATTCACCTCTAATTTTATTAAGTTGGGGGGGTTGGTAAAGCTTATTTCCATCACCACTGACAAATAATGTTAGTTTTAGTACTCTGCTGTATTGTATAGCAAATGCAAGATCTGAACTGTCAAATATGGTTATGAGATCACCATCTAAAACAAGATATGAAAACTTATTAAAAACAACCCAAATATGAGTTAATTAATAATTTCAATGAATGTAATAAAAAAAATAGAATTATAGAACTAAAGGCATGATTAAAATACCTTCATCTTTATATTTAATTGTAATATCATCTGAACTACTGAGTTTTCCTCTGAAAACTCGTTGCATCATTAAAACTAATTCATCATATGTAATAGCTTCATTATGAATAGGTATCCTACGAACATCGTCTCCCAATTGAACCTAAAAAACAAAAATCATCAGTATAAGCAGTCACAAAACGAAAAAAGTTAAATTTAATGGTAAATTGAACAAAACCTTAATAATTAGTTTTCCACTTAAGTCCAATTGTTGGAAGCTTTGATCACCACCACCAGTCTTCGAGGAAAAAGCAGTCGATGAAGACATGTCTAAAATCTAATTCAAATGTTAAAAACTAAACTAATTGAGCGAACATTTGCTTGTATAAGTTTCTAAATTAACGAATAACGGCTTAAAATATTACTAAAAGGACTAGCAGCAGAGTATTCGGGGTAAACAACAATACACGTTAAAAACTTATATGTACAGTGTTGCCGACGATACCGGCATAAAATCTGGATGTTTTTCTCAGTCCTTTTCTTAAATGTCTTTCAATTCAACTTATCACCTTATTGTAATTTTGATTAAAAATTGGATAATTTTAAAAAAAGTTAAATTCATACTTAGAATAATTGTAACAGATAAAATTTTTCATAGACGCCGAGTAATAAAAATAATCGCATGTACATAGATATCGATATTACAGTGCCCAGAGTTCTAATGAATTTTATTAAATAAAAATAAAAGGAATTGATAATTATTGTGTTAACCAATGATATATTATTAATACTATGTCAAAATTATATAACTTTTACTGTTCTGCTTTCATACTAATCGTTATTTAAACTATTATCATTTATAATTTCGTACCTGAAATCAATGAACAGCTAAGGCTAACCTCGTTGAAAAAGGAAATTTCGTTAATAAAAGATTTAAGGTCACTGCTAATTTGGTGAATTAAACTTTGTTGTGTCTTATTAATTTTTTTCTTTAAAAAAACAACATTTGAACTTTCCTTAAAAAAATATTCAACTTCATTTTCCTTTGAAAAGATTCAAATTGAATAAACTTCAATTTAATTTAACTTATACATGCATGAAAAACATTTACATAGAACTTGATACTTTCAACTTCCTCTGGTTCCAACTACTAATGAATCCTATGTATATTTACAAATTTGCAGAATCAACACTCTTATTCAGTTTGTACTGTTGTTTGACAACAGTTTTAAATAGAAATATGTCTTAAAAACATTAAAAAATATAAATATTCCAGAGAGTAAACTAACTTGAAATTGCATTTACAGACAAAAATGATAAAGTTAGTCATGAGATAAATCTTAAAACATGTCTTAGAAAGAAAAAGAAACTTCTTGAAATAGGTTTATGCTTCAAAGATCAACTTAAAAATTATTTTGGTTAAAAAATTCAAATAATTTTAAAATTTTGTTTAAATTATGTTTACTAATACTACTGTAGACTAAGACTTAAAATGATTTCCAAGGGCAAAACTAATCATTTTAAGAAAGAAAATAGTATGGATGTTGGTCAAAAATTACACTATAAACTATTTCTTAAACATTCTCCTTAATTATCAAAATGATTAATTTAACTATTAAATACACTAAAATTTGAACCAAACTCATTTAAAAGGGCAGAAAAATGACTGAGTAATGGTAAATGGATGTGAAATAATGTTCTTACTATAGTACTTAGATTTAGTTTAAATTCACCTTCATTTGTAGCTTCAACAATTAATGAAAAGTAAAGACTTTCTTTTTTTAATAAAATACACAATGACAAAACAAAGTTCATTTTTGAAGTTCAAAATAGATTTATAACTTTTCCTAAGAAAATTAGTAGATATTAATCGATAATTTCTTTGTCAGAGATCTGTAGCGTTAATTCATAATAGAGAGTTAGTTTTATGGTCTTTTTTGTAAATATCTAACTCATAACCATCATAACACTTTTACTGCAGATAATTCAAGCATTGGTATATATACATTGTTGGAGTATTAAAAAAAAATCATTAAGTACATTTTTGTGAATTTAGACCTAATTTATCGGTACAAAACACAATAATTGCACCGAAAGGAAAACAAAATCGTTTACAAGGCCAATATAGTTACATTTAGTACACAATGTTGTGGTTTCACTGAGGGAAATTTTATCTAAGTATTTATTATATGAAATGCCAATTAATGGAATAAAACAAATATGACGTAGAGGATAAAGAATTGTAGAGGGTGTTGACCAACTTCTTTCTATCAACTGTGAGGGTACATCTATTTTTACTTCAACAGCACAAGAAATATTTTCGATGAATATTAAATTATTCACAAGTTACACCATTCAAATATGATAGTGAATCATTGCTCTTATAGTGAAATGATGAAAGTATTCTGATGTAATGTTATGTTAAACACAACATATTTTTTTTTTTTTTACTATGAGAGTACCACTTTTTAGTATTCAATATTTAAAAAAACCTTAATATGACAATAATTTTATTTTTAACTTTTTTGTCCCCTACAAAATAGGGATTTGGCAATGATATGACAATGTAAGTAAATGTACTTTATACCATTGAACATAAAAACCAAATGATTCATTTTTTTTTAAATAATCAGCATCAACAGCTTTTATAATAAAAAGAATGAGGGGGAGGGAGGGCTGAAGGAGTAGCATTCCAAGACAGAACTAAATGACAGTTACATGAAATATCAGATATTCTCCTGGCAGTTGTTTGAGAAACCCAGTTTATGTCAAGCAGTTGTAGAATCATATCAATGAAATAATAAATATTGTTTCAGTTTTAAGCATTAATCTAAGTAAAAACCCTTATTTTTCTGGTAGTCATTGATGGGAAAGAAGGGTTAAGCATAATAAAAGCTAAGATCTGTAATTGTTTTACAAAAAATTTTAACAAAAATGTTTGGATCAGTAACCACATACAATAGAAATTATTAACAAGATTGTGACAAAGTGATTTATCTGTGAAAACAAAACCAAATGAATACACTGCCTTTTGATTCCATATAGAGTGACATGAAACCAGAATATGGTGTTGCTACTCTCTTCATTTTTTTAGGTTTGCCACTTACTTATTCTCATTTGGCCACTAATCTTCTAGTTACTCATGAGGTGTCTCTGGCTTGAGATATTGAGCTATCAGAAGAAGAAAGAATAAGAAGCTACATACAAATTAAGAAGGAATATTGATGTCGACAATACATAAAAATCAGTGTATAGATAATTATAATTATAAATAGATAATTTCAAAGAGTCAAAGAATAACACGGTAAGATAGGAACAAGAGAATATAAGGTGGATAGACAGAGAGACAGCGAATTCAAAGACATTTTTCATGAATGGCTGTAGAACGGAACACAAAACCACCTGATCAACATCAGATCATTGACGATGTTATACTTGAGTTAGTTATTTTAATGTTTATTAAATGAAATAGATTTTAAGATACCAGATTTAAAATCAAACTATTTGGATGTGAAAAATTTAAATTTCATTGGCTTGATCACAGTTACTAACAATTCGTAAGTTCAGTTCATAGTTTATGACAGTAAATTAGAGGTAAAGGAGCAGCTTCAACAATAAATTTTAAAGAAAGCATTAAAATAAATAATGTATTTAGTTTATATATCTATACAAACTTAATAAATCATAAAATAGATTTTTAAAATATGAATTACATTATATACATCAAAATTTACATTGCTGAAAATTATAAATTTATACAAAAAATGGTTATATAATTTAAAAAATAGGATTCTCAACTAACAAGTAATCTCATACATTATGATTTTTATTTCAGTCATAAATCAAGTACCTTTTTACAATAATAATACATTTTGGATAAAAAAATACATTTATTATATTAAATATACATAAATTATGAAAAATGTGTTACTTATGAGTAATACACAAAATTCAAACAAATATTTAGAATCCCTTTCCGGCATATTGACAGCAGTTATTATAGTTATCGACAAATATTTCACCACAAAATATTGCATTATCTTTGAAATTTGAACAATTAAATTCTTTATCACAACAGACCATGATTCAATTTAATAGCACTACATACAAGGGATTTGCACAAGACAGGATCTAAAGATTCAAAACCTTCAGAAAGAATAACAGAGTCTAAATTTTCTGCAGCAAATTTTATACATGAGTCAACTAATTCCTAAAACAAAAATGTAAAGTTAACAATTTATAGAGTAATTAAAATTAACAAATAAAATTGCATTGGATTTACATAAAAACAAATTTCTCTTCAGTAATTAAATAGATCATCTGTATCATTAAATGTAAATAAATAAAAGGATTTCTAAGAAGAGTTATATCCTATCACAGTATGAAAACAAAGACATAAGATATATAAAGATGGATATGAATATCAAGAATCAAATTCAATTATATAAGGATTGTTATTTTTTCCTCTTTATTCAACTGAACAAGAATAATAAGGCATTCATGAGATTTAACAGTAACGTTAATGTATTATCAAGCATTAATTATTTGAACTGTTTATTATGCCTAAAGATAAGAATTCAGTAAGCTACCATACTCATTCTAATCGAAAATTGAGTTCGGCAGTGTTAGAACTTATATGAGGATATATTATATAACAAATAAGAAGCAAGAAGAGAGGCAATAAAGAAATACAACAGTTTACCAAAAGAAAAACTTTAAAGAAAGAAACACATCACAGATAAAGAAATAGGAACTAAAATAGATGATAATTAAAAAATGGTAAATTTAAGAAGCATACATGAAATATGATTAACATCACAACTATTTTCAAAAAAATCAACTAATAAGTAATGAATATGAATGTCTTTTGCACACAAAATTGATGCTTAGCCTCAACATTCCACTTGTGATTAGTAATAACTGAAAATAGAAGGCAAAAAAATAAAATAAACATTTTTATAATTACCGACTGATTTCCAGCAGCAACAGCATATAACTGTGTAACATTTGAAACAGTTAGACAATATTTAAACATTTCATGGCACAGGTTCTTCAGCTCCATTTCTAAATAAGACATTGCAATGTCACAGAGAGCTATATATAAATTTAAAAAAACTTCAATCAAAAAAATGATTTATATAAATACTTTTTATGTATAAATAACTAAATTACATATGATTTCAGATCCTTCAAGTGGTTCCACACAGCCAGTATAAACGTATTTTAAAAATGCTCTGTAGGCCTTAGCATTATACTGTTTCATATTGATAACAGTCCTGAAAAAAAATAGTTGGCAAGTTAAATAATTATGTTATGATAAGCTTTTTAATAAATAAAACATTATTATACAATGGATGTTCCAAATATCACCTACTTTACTCTTTTTCAACATTATATCCATTCAATAGAACTAATTAGACTGAAAACTCAATTAAGATCACTACGAACTATTTACTTTGCTATCCCAAGATCAACCAGATACAAAAATTGTGCCAGCTAAAGTTATGAGGCTGAATTGAAAACAATTAAACTTCCAGTGAATTCCAGATCGGTTCTAATATAACCCATCCCAGCTCCTAATACCGCCCACTAGACGATATGAAGAGCACCATTTTTAGTAAGATAGAATGCTGAAGGTGTTGAGGGGAAGGAGAGGAAGGAAAAAACAGAAGAAAAACAAAACAAATAAAATCAGAATAAAGGTCAGAAAATTGCTTGTTAAAAAAGTTAAAGAAAAGTAATACAAGAAAATGAAATATATATATATATATATATATATATATATATATATATATATATATATATATATATATATATATATTATATATATATATATATATATATATATATATATATATATAATATATATATATATATATATACACATAAATGTCCTGTGCTCTCTAATGGGTGCACCACAATACTTTGGTTTCAGTTAGACACTAAGATAAATTTGATGGTGGGTATAGGGGGAGAGAGATGCACAGTGGCAAAACATTTTCCTGCCTACCCCCACTCTTTTGTCTTCTCTACTCATCATACGTAATTCTAAATTTTTGTTTGCAAGTAGAAATTTCTTTTATCATTTTTTTTTTCCATTTCTTTTACTATTTCCTACATTGATTCACAGAAATATTGGCTGTTTACATACTGTGATTCATTTGATTCGAGCTAATAGAGTACAGTCTAAAATACTACATAATGTGGACAGTTATCTTTGTTTACATTTAGAAGTAAATGAAAAAGGCTTCTCCCAATTATTGAATATCCGAAAACATAGTATCAGATTCTTTTCTGCTATATATCTTCCATCTATTTCTTAGTAAATTTAGATCTACTGATCCTAGTAACCAGTTATGTGAACAATAGAGGGGAACTTGAGTGGGGGAAAGTTGCGCGAGCTTCCTTTGCCTACAATCAAACTTAACATAGATGCACTATACACGATCTGCCCCTAACAACCAAAATCGTATTGATCATTGCTAAGTGCACAAGGAATCACAGTTGTCATGTTCTATTTTCTTGTCAGTGTCTTCCAGTGGAAGTCGGAATTCTATAACGGTAAGTGTAGTAAAATTCTGAATACAATATATAGTTTTTGATTAAAGTAGATGTTCTGAATATCCCCTGGTAGGAGATAATCTGTCCATTCACTGGATTGTTTGGAGACAAAAATTATGAAGACAGCAATAATAATTTCTATATTCAATACTTTATATTATTTGTGTAATCAGTATTAGGAGTGTCGAAATCAGAGCTGCTATCAGTAAAAACCACAAACTATGAGATTACACCATTTCCTCATCAATAGAGCTGATTGTACTTACTAAACGCAAGTAGGCAATATTAGGCACATGAAGTATATTTGCTATACTCAGTGATGTTAGTGCGATGCCATGCATAAAGATTAAAGTTAATAAGTAAGACGTCACATTTTTAAATCATACACATAAAAGTTGCTCAACCTTCCATTTGACCAGTTTTCGTCTAATAGTGTCTTGAAGTGTTCACAAAATGCTCTCATTATGATTGTGTGAACATATACAATACCATCAGCCAATTCTATCTGCAAATCACTTAACTCCTAAAAATATTGGGAACATAAGAAAATAATATAAAACAAAATAACATGAACATTTGAAATATATGATCAATAAGTATACAATGAATACAATTTTTTTTTCTCCATCTTTTACTTCAATTAAAAATAATAATGACAAGGAAATAATTTGTTTTCCATTACATAGTGACCCTATGTCATGCATTTCTATTTCTATTTTCATGCTGTATAAAAATGTTTTTGAATTTACATTTAGTATAAATATTAGGTATAAAAAGTACACAAATTCCATTAAACATAAAAAAAAACACTTGAAAAAAATTAATGAAGAAAGGGAGAGAAAAATCATAAAATAAAAATGAACAAAGTAAAGCGAACAAAATAAATGTCAACACGTTAGCTGCTGAGCACGATATCTCTTAAATGTCTTTCCTGACAATATCGGACCCTGATGACCGACACTTGATATGAAGTTCCAAACGGCATCGGACGTTGGAGACATACATCAGTTTCGAGGTATACCCCTACCTTTTGAAAACAAAGGTAAACTGAATTCCCTATTCAGTGTCTCTATCTTCTATCTGTTGATTGTGTCCTCATTAATGGCCAGCAATCGTAGGAGTGGAACCCAACAACCACTGCCGTTTATATGACGAGTGTCTTCATTTCAATAAAAAAGTGTTATTTTTAGGGATCTTAAATATTGAAAATGAAATGAGAAAAAGTTTATTTATCACATATAATTATAATTTTCATGATGTAATTTACACATTATTGATGTAATAATGTTTCAATGTCAAGATAAAAATGGAATATAAAAAATCTAAGTTACATAATAAGTACATATTGTGGCAATGCAATAAAAATATAGATAATTGGGTATTCACAATCACATTAGAATTTATTTTAAGAAAAGGAAAAATGAAAGTGAAGTATTAAGTTGCTAACTGTTTGTGATACTGATTGAAGTGCGGCAAGCAGAATCTGGGCATACCATCACAGTCCTCACACAAAGTAGTGGCTTTCCGTGTTTTATTATTTGCCTACTTACTTCTTAGGGTCTTTCTCAGTTCTATGTAGCACTCTCTGCACTGCTTTAGCTGTTTTCTTCCCTCACCTGAAGGCTTAATAAACCAATGCATCAGATGTGGTGATGGTGGTTGGCGCTGAGTTGCGAGTTCATCAGCAAGAACCGATCGGAACTTAGTATGTGATATGGATTTTTTTTTTCATGTTAAAGATATTTCAAGAATTGACCACCAACGTTCCAAATATTATCTCAATCAACATGCACTGTCCTGTCACGGCAGGAATATGTATCGGTCGCCAGGGGTTGATACCGTAGTGAAATTATTTTTTATCAGTCTGGTACGGTATCGGTCCCCGGCGTCTTAGAGCTATATATCAGATAAAATGATGATTTACATTTGTATCTTTGAATCTATCCAACTCCCATCCAATATTTTTAAAAATGACAATTTTAGAGACTTCATAAGATGAGCAAAATTTGAAATAACCCTGGTCTCTTGGCAGTAGAGACGAATATCAGACCCCAGGGACCGTAACCGCAGCTAACGTGTTAAACCAAAAAATAAGAGAAATGATTAGGTATATAGATAATTAAATTAAAAATAATCTAGAATAAAATAAATTAAAAACATGAAAAACTAAACTACCACAAACAAAAGAAGATGGGAGCTACAAGAAAGAAAACAAAAGAAGGTTGCCAGCTACAAGATCGGACCTTTTTTCTTCTTTTCAATTGTTTATCAATATGAGATTTTCCAATGAGCAATTTGTCCACAGCACAATTGAGTACAATTCACAGTGCAACCTCACATTCCTATATATTATATATTCCTTCTCATTCCCTCACACAATGTCGTCTAAAGGAGTAAATACAGGAGGATGTCTACTACACCAGCAGTTTTTTTTTTTTTTTTTTTTTTTTTTTTTTTTTTTTTTTTTTTTTTTTTTTTTTTTTTTTTTTTTATAAAAGTTTTCATTGAAAAAATAATTTTAATAAAAATAAGCACTTTCAAGGACAATAGATATTGGTTAGAGTTGTAAGGTATTCATTAAGTTGTAAGGTATTTGAATGGATTCATACCAAATATACAGGTCCAAGAAAAAATGATAAAAATAAGTATGAATATCACAAATAAAAATGATCTTTCAGATTATTAGTTGGTTATAACATTATTAACGTGGGTCACAAAAAGTCAAGGTACACATAAAAAAAAACCAGAAGTAATTAAGTGATCAAATTTTGTAGATTTTAACTCGACTAGGGGTAGATAGGAAGTAGCATTCTAGCCTTATTGCAGATCGCAGTTGTACTTGAAACAAATTGGTAGAAAAATAAAATAATAGAAACACTATTTTACTTTGATAAGAAAAAACAGGTTCATTTTATTAAAAGGTTATAGTTGGGTTTCATGGAAATAAGAAAAACCCACAATCTAAATTCAAAATTGTTTTTAAAAAAATAATAAATGACAGGTATAAGGTATGGAAATTATTCTCTTCCTTGTATGCCAATTTATTCTAAATAATTCTTATTTGTTTTAATACATTGACTAAGTGGTATATAATTGTCAAATAGAATAAGGGAAAAAAAAGACAAATGTCAATAATATGGGGAAGTGAAAAGGAGCTGTCTCTGATGATGGACAAAGAGTCCAAAACGTTAGACAGATGTATTCAGATAAATAAGAATTATTTAGAATAAATTGGCATACACGGAAGAGAAAAGTTTCCATACTTTATACCTAAAATAACACAAAACTCTTCCTTAAGAAAAACATAAACATTAAATTATATAAGAATAAATGATGATATAAAATTTCAAGCTTCGCAAAAGGCATATCAACAAAAACCTATTTCAGAAATGTATAAATAAAGATGTAAGACCAAAAATATCTCAGTCCTAGAAATAATGAGCAGTCCTTAAAATTGAGGAACCATGCCAACCATAAATTTAAAGCAGGTATAGTAAAAACAAAAGAGATATTCAAATTAATATATAACTAGAGACATTAATTATTATATGAAACACAGGCATAGAGAAACCATAAGCCTTTTGGACAAACATTCTAACTTTGACTGATTCCATTCATGCAAAATGCTTATCGGTTAATTCTAGATAAAGAAGTATTAATACCATTTATCATAAAGGACATCATATGGCTGAAAAGTATTAGGAGAATCCAAGAAGAGTTGGGTAAACGGGGATCGGGGAAGAAGAATAGTTGGGTGTATGCAAAGGCAACTCACACAGAATTATAAATTTCTGGCGAAGCGTGTTAGAGCCTGCTTTAACATTCTAAGAGTCTAGCAGTATCAGTTGAAATTTATTCTGAGGCTGACCCAAGGAATCTCGATCTTCCCACTCTCATTAAGAGTAGGTTTGGTTTTACTCTATAACAACTTCCTCATAAACCAGAAATGGTGAGATAAGGCATAACAAAAAAATAAATAAACTATGAGTTCCAGAATCAGACTCATATTCTTTGTACATCAATAAGAAAGAAGAGGACAAAGTAAGTTGTAAAAGTACAAGTACCTTACTATTAAATAGAACTTTCCCGATATCTCTTGTAGAACCTTTCAGCAAAGGAACCATTGGCAACATAGGTTCCTCACTCTTTCGTCGGATTACAGGCATAGAGATGCCATAAAAAGCTTCAAGTATGTTTGAACAAGGTAGAACTCTTGGGGTACATTCTGTATCCTCATCTAAAAAAAAATATTAAGAGTTAAATGTTACAGTAAAGAAATATAGAACTCATTCATGGTTTATTATTCTTCCCACAAAAATTAGCATTTTTGACAAAAATTTTACACAACTAAAATAGAAAACCTTTCATTTTTCTACAAGTCAAAAAGAAACAATTAATTTACATGACATAAAAATAAATTAATTCCTTACTAGAAGGAAATAAAATGATATTTATGATAATAAATAGTAGGTAAGGCAATAGACTTCTAACCACCTCCAGGTTTGGGTTAAAGTGCCACTCAGGAAGAAAATGTTAAGTTATGAACAGCCACAAGTTAATTTTGGGGTTGTAAGCCCTCATCTTACCCACTCAGTCTCTATAAAGTGGGCACCTTTTTTTTTACAGCTGTATTTAATCCAGCAAGAATTTCTAGAATGAGGAAAAATAAGAAAAAGTTTACGTTTCTTTATCAATATTTGTAGATAAGAATCATTTATTTAAAAACAACGTTAAGTGTTATGGTTATAAACAATCTCAGAACCAAATAAGTATGATTTTTTATTCAATTATTAATTCAGTAATTTATTGAGGACAGAACAAAAAACTTATACTTTTGTGACCACCCAAATAGTTTATAATTTGTTTCCAAATTTTAAAAAATAGTAATACATATATATATATATATATATATATATGTTATGTATATATATATATTATGAAAAATAAAAACTTACCCATCATAAAATGAAATTATATCTGATAATAAGTTACAAGAATACATAGACATAATATCCAGGATTATAACACCATAATCAAAACTATTATCATAATAAACAAAAAAAAAAGTTTTAACTTTATTTACAACACATCACACACGACCAAGTTTAATTCTTTCAATATAAAATATTATATAAAGCACTATAGTTACATGAGGATTGTATTATTTCTACTCTTCCTACAAATTCAAACCATGAACTAACTCTAGAGTATGTAATCACTAAAAATAGGTCAATTGTTCACTAGAAATATCCACATGAAATCATTTGATTTTTATATTTTAGAAAAATAGCATTACAAATTGAAAAAAAAAACTATTACAACTGAAAGATTTTCTTTAAGGATATCTATTTTAATTCAAATCAAAATTTAATGAGACAGATTAAAGATAAAGCATGAATATGTGTTAAAAACAAAATAAAATCTGTAATAATTCACTGATAAAAATAACATTATAAAAATTAAATAAATATACTTAGACTGATTTATGACAAAAGGAATTAATTTCATAACATTGATAACTGATTAATTTAAACCTGGACCTCATATCTAAAAAATCAAATTTTGATAGTTCCTAATTCCTAAGAGAGCTTGATGTATTTTAATGAAATATGGACTTGTTTAATTATGGTCAATTTCAATTGTAAAATGCTGTAAATATTAAGAGACAACCGTGAAAAATGATGAAAGTGTTTCAGAATCTTTTTTTTTTTAAATGAAAACTTCTTTAGGAGCACTTAGCACTTCATTTCGTGGTCATTAATCAAAACTGTGCTGTCACGCTCGGCTATGTAATGATCATTTAGATAAAATCGGCTCGAGTGAACTAATCTTTGCATTGTGATAACAATATCTCAGAAACTAAAAATCGGACCTGCATACTGTAACAGAGACAGAAATTTTCAATATTTCATCCTCTTTGGAATTAGTTATTATTTAAAATTTTATCTTGATGTGAAGCCATGTAAGAGAGGAAAAAAGATAGTGTCCGAACCCAAATAACGAGTTTTTTTTTTAATATTTGGATTAAAATATCTCAAAAACTTAAATTTCAGACTTGCATACTGTAAACACAGGAAATTTTCAGCACTTCATTCTCTTTGTAATGAGCTATAATTCAAAATTGTATTACTACGAGTCGCTGAATTAGAGAGTTGGAAAGGGAAAAAGATAGCTCCAAAAGACTGATAGATTGATTGAATATTTGGACTAAAATATCTCAAAATTTAAATACCATGGAGATTTCAGAAACCAATGTTCAGAAGTCGATATCGATAGACAGTTTTTTAATAAGAAAAAAATATATTTATATTTCATACTATTCATCCCGCCTTGTTTTCACTTTTATCATTTAGTCTTAAGCAAACACCATAGTTATTTGATTTTCCATTGGATTTTATAGATATTTTAGATCGTTAATCGCCTGAAAAACAATTCCACACAATGTTGGTGTAATACTTATTTTAAGCCTACATTTCGACCTTAGTTATAAGTCTTCTTCAGGCTATTTTCCCAACAATGGAGAATGTGTGATTGTTATCCACACTCTCCGACTAACTATTCCTTAAAACATTTTATATTTTATCTCTATCTTCATACAAGACTGAGATGAAAAATGTAATGTAAGAAAATAATAATAAAATGGCAAAAATAAATTATATGAAAATATTGAGTTAAATGGACTTCCCAAGTTCAGAGGATCATCCTGGAGTAACCAGTGAGACTTCTGTCAAATCTGACTTGTCCACTCACACGACTTTCCTACCAATTTCAGAAAAGTTTTTATATCTTTACATATGTTCATGAAGAAACAAAAAAGAATTGAACTAGATACATTTTCCTGAAAATTGATCAAACATAAGATTTGAGTATGATTTATTTGATAAACTAAAGCAATGTAAACCGGCCAAAGGTAGATCAGTGTAAAAATTTCAATACTTCCTAATATTGCTGATCAAAAACTTTTTGCCATAGCTTAGTATTGTCAAACAATAATTTCTGTTAAAAGTAGAGGAAATAGTGAAGATTGTGTGACGCAGGCAACAGATTTTCTTACTTTCACTTAGTCATCTTTATTCTCTCATTCACCCCTTTCTGACACCACAATATGAAACCGTAATCTTACATTGGAAATTGAATAGCTGTAACTTCATTAATAGTTGTCCAAAATGAACGATTTTTATATGGCTTTGTAGGGAATTTCATTATCGTTCAAATGACAGGCTGTAGAAAAACATGTTTTTCATTTATTGCATGCAAACTATTGCGCATGGAGCACCGAATTTCTGTCACAGGCATCAGTAGTCAAAACCCTACAAAATAAAAAAAGAAGCAACAAAATTGGTTCAGTAGTTTCCGAGAAAATCTTGGCACAGACGGACCAATGGCTAAAAATATGTTTTTCGGACTCAGGGAACTCTGAAACGTATAGATCCGTCGAAAACCGCATGTCAGAAATTTGACCCGATTGCAATACTTTCATTACCTAGTATAGGTAGGAAAGTAAAAAAGTACAATAATCTCAAAGAAAAGAGGTGGACAGAGGAATTATTTTTCTTCATTTTTAATTCTACTTACCTGCATAAAACAAAAAATCTCAAATATTTAGGTGGTTAAAGTTTTTTGATGGTCGATCACCTACATTATTGAAAATAGTAATCTAATCTGATTGAATTTAAAGAGCTCAAATCAAGTAACTTTACGACCTAATCTTGAAACAGGTACCAACAGTCAGCTGTTTTGTTAAAAAAAAACGTATAAGAATAAAATCAAATGGCAATTTCCATTGAACTTTACAATCAGCATCTTGGAGTCAGACTAATATATACTGTTTAATGTTAAATTAATATTTAATTTTTTTTCTTATAATCAATAATCCAACCTCCTAGTAGTATTATTGTGTTAAAATAATTTGAGTAATTACTAAACCCATTTGGTTTATTAAAATAAAGGTTTAAAAGTTCATTTTTTTTTTTTTTTTTAAATTGCATAGATCATGTAAAAATAAAACATTTCAATTGTATAAAAAAAACAAAATAAAGGAGTTTGGAATGATGACCTAAATATAAAGGCTACAGAGGTCAGCAGAGGTGATGAAAAGTATTCCATCAAACGGGAACGAAGAAGTATCAACTAATGCCGCTCCTCCCTTCCCACTCATCGTCACTAAATGGTTAATAGTCCCCAAACGTAATCACTAAACTTATACGACAATGTTTAATAACTCAATCTCAATCATGATGGATTAAATATCCATATCCTTAGAAACTTAAATTCAGTTAATCAAAATATAAATGTTATAAAGATCTAGACAATTTTATAAATGCCAGAATTATGTTTTGAAAAACAATAGAATAAAATGTAAAATGCACAGATAATTTTTCCCTCACTTTAATAATAATCGTAACAATTTTATAAATTTAATTTTTCACCTTCTGACCAAATGAGCACCTCATGTGGTTTATCTGCTTCAGCACAAATCACAGGTTGTAGATTATTGGCAGCAATCTCCACGATATTTTTCCTTAAACACAGATAAAAAAAAAATTGTTACTTCATAATGAAGAAGCTAAATAAATTTGATTATTAATTTCAAATATTTACAATTTAATGATAATCGTTTGTATTAGTCTACTTATAAGCGATATGCAAAGATCGAATATGGTTTATTAAATTATTCATATTGGTAATAAAGTTAAAAAATAACCTTTGTAAATTAAAAAAAAAAATTTGACCATCAAAAACGTTAAATTCTATACAGTTATATTAACCATAACATGCTATTAATAAAATCAAGAGAAGTAATACCGCATAATCATCTGCAAAAGATCTCGATTTAATGGATGCCCTAACAGAACTTCAGCATGAATCACGGAATAGAATTCAATAATAAGTGGACAGTACTGTAGAGGAAAAGAAAATGTAAATGTGTCAGAGAGGATATAATTAAACTTACAACAAATGAGCTTTAGCAATGAAACTTAGCACACATAATAAAAATAATCTAGTTAAAAATTTTATTTGGGCATTTATAAAAGTTATTTTTTCTTTTATAAGAATATCGTGACTACAAAATTTAATCATATCCACTTCAAAAACTTAGTTTTAAAGAACATTGAAATATGAAGGATTTATGCAAAAAAATTCCTCCAAAGAGTTTGATCCATGTCATGATTAAGATTCATGCTAGCCAAATAGAAAAAGACAGTTGCACTTTAGGATTGGTTGAGTTGAGCCATCAAAAAAAAAATATTACAATGGATTAATAAATCGTTGCTTTATCATAGTTCAATCTTTATATATTAATGATATTCTGAACATTTAAAGTTTCATGATAAAGATTGTACAAGACCAAGGATTATGCAAGAAGGTGAATCTTCACCAAGATTCATGACGCTAGCAAAACAAAATATTCAATAATAAAATTTTATAGACCATTTATTAACGGTACATTTGAAATAACTACTTATTTACCTGATGATAACTCTTTGTGGAAAAGAAACGATCTCCATTGGCATACCAACAGCAAGAGATGAATTCTTGTTATGACCCCAGGCATATAATACTCCTTCATCAGTAAGTGCCATCGTCGCGAGGGTGCTGCACACAATTTTAATAACATATTGATCCATCAACTGCCCCCTTACAACCTGAGGTACATCTTGTAGAGTTGTATTGCCATTTCCCAGCTGCCCAACCTCATTAACACCCCAAGTCAATACCTGACATTTTAGAAATACCTCATTATCTTTATCAAATAAATTTAGCTATAAATACCAGGAATATATAAATATGACTAGTTTTTATACAAATTAGAATTGAAGCCATAAGGAATAACTTTTACAGTTAATTATTACTAGTATATTAATGAATCATATTCTTACTAATATAATTTTACTTATTCCTTTATATCTTCCATATTATATTTTATCATGAGACAGCAGTGGTCGAGTGAGTTAAGGCACGTGCAAAAATTTTATGCTATGAGTTTAAATACCGTTCGCAGGATTAAATAACAAAAAAAAATATAAATAATTAATAATAAATAAATAAGTGCAGTCACTACTCGATTGCTCAGTAGACCACTACGGCGCAGGTTTGATTCCCGTATGAGATTCACAGTAAGGTGAGAGCGAACCCAATGTCTAATAACATAGCTCCTTTGGTCCTCCAGATTTTGAGGTTGGGCACAGGACTAACAACCCTATCCCGTAAAAAACAAATACAGGATAGAGAAGTCTGCAAAAGGTTGCCAATCATCCTAATGAAGAGAGACTGATTGTGATCTCATCCGGTTATTATATAAACCACATGCTCCCTGGATATCATCTATATAAGAAGAGAACCAAACAATTACAACTTATCTTCTAGAACAGCCCCGATGCTGCGAGAAGACTAATAGCAGAAGTCAATAGATTCAAGAGGCATTAAAAAAAAAAAAAAAATTATTATTCATTTCTCATTATGTTAATTTTCACATGAAACAATGAGAATGATGGCGAAAGTTAAGTTTCCTTTATTTTGAGAAACTGTATGTTTCTTTTATTATAAAAATATCACTCGAGTAAATGTCATCAGACATTAATATACATTTATATTTATCTTTATTTTCCTTCCTTCAGTATGGAGAATGAAACTACTAATTACATGACTGCATTATTGATCTTAAGCTTTGTGAATTGATCGATCCTAACAATTTATACAAGTTTGCGAAGGCTATTGACCTGTTTTAACATATAATAAGATGATGCAAATTAGGTCACAGTGAGGTCACATAGCACTCATGTGGGAAATAAAAAATAAAAAAAATTTATTAAAGAAGAATTTTATTCTGATTTCCTTCCCTATCAAAGAACAATGGGTATTGCATTTATGGATTTGGATATTGGCATACTATTGCCAGTTGTCACAATTGGTAACAATTCCCAACCAATACAAAAGATAGGGGTATGCCAACTAAAGATTTGATCTTTCATCATGACACCATACTTTAAATCTTAACAAGGAGTAAACTTAAAGAATGGGTCAGGAAAACCTTGAACATCCACAGTAGTCAAGACTTATCCATTAGTGAGTATTTTTGGCTTTGCTCATGAATGATTCACTTGAAGGAGAACGATTCAAAATCTATGAAGAATTAAAGGAATATTCACAATAGGATGAAAACTCACCCTCCAACTTTTTATAACAAGGAACATCCAAGTTTCTAAATCGGTAGTAAAAGGGGAGTAGATTAAGCAAGAGACAGTATTGTGATAAGCTGGAAGTATGGTTTGTGTATTTATCAATAAATGTATAAAAAAGATAACTGTTTATATTTGATTCATCCACATATATGAAATGGATGGCAAGAATATTAAATTTATAGAATATAAAATTTAAAATTTACCCCTCCACACTCAGTAAGAGCCACAGCATGAAATGCACCACAGTTTATACTAACTATGCAAGGATCTTGGCGAATTTTCAACAACGTGGGTACAGTTTGTGTGCTACAACAATCCCATTTTACATCACCCCAGTGATACAACTGAAATGACAAGCACAACAGATTAAATACAAGTTAATTGTACATTTCAATAATTACAATTAATGTTACAGTACTTCATTGTTTGCTGCAAGAGCCAAACTGTAACGATCTGCAGTTGCTATTTCCTTTATATGCACATCAGTACCAGGAAAAATGACTCTTCTTGGGGAGAGCTGGGAATCAAGTGAATTATGGCCAAGTTGGCCATAGTTATTACTACCCCATGAGTAAACAGCACCACTTTCAGTAAGTGCTAGAGCATGTATTGAGCCAGTAGTAAAGCCTGTCAAGAAAAAAATTAAAGTTAGAAAATGGTTTAAAAAGATAAATAAATGTATACCTAGTCCTGTCATAAATATTTCTTACAAGAAAATATATACAGATTCCAACAGAAAAATTAATTCTTTCAAAAACTTTACTAGAAAATAAAATGCATATCTATAAAGAGTAAAACAAAAAATAAATTAATCAAAATGTCTCCCTTTTACCTTGACACAGGGATTCAATAGCAGCAAGCAGCACTTCTTGAAGAAAGCGCTCAACTGCTCGGACCAGAGATTGTTTGAGGCTTTCCAAGTTAGGGTGTGCTCTGAGGCATGCAATCCTCTCAAAGTCGATGATCTAATGGGTTGAGATCAGGGTTTCCTGTGGGCCAATCCGAGGCAGAGATGAACTCTGGAATGTTCTTTTGCAGCCACTGCTAAGTTGACCTGGCCTTATGAGCTGTAGCGGAATCCTGCTGGAAAACACAATGACTTCCAGCAAACAGAGTGTCATTTAGAGGCTTGACAACAGGTTCCAAAATATTATCCTGATAGTTTTTAGTGGCTGTTTTTAACTTCTTTTTCACAAAAATGGAGCTTTATGGTGCCAGCAAAGCAACAGGAGAGGCAAAAAAAAAAAAAAAAAATGAACCATCACCGAGGAAGGGGGAGATGACCTCTTTCCACTCTTCCAATGACTGCCTGGGCTTCCTTAGAGTTGTAAGTGTACACATGATCATTTTGGCGATTAAATTTTTCTTCAATTGTAAACATTTTCTCAATGCTAAACAAAATCATGAAGAACATTGTTGTAACGGCCAAGAGCACTTTGCATCTATCCATTCTAATTTTTTTAGGGATGTAGTTAGCCCTTGTCCTATCATTCTTCGAAATGCACCCATCCTAAGGTCACTTTTTATTATGCGAGACATAGATCTGACAGAGATTCCCATTTCCCGAGACATGATTGGTTGTTTTCGAATGGAATTTCTTTTGAATCGAGCAGTCACTGCTCTTACTGCATTTGCCATTCTTACAGTGCGGTAAGGTTTCAAAGTGTTGAAAATCTCTGACCTACATTTTCCAACTTTGTGTCAGGCAATCACAGCTATTTGGTTATTTTATCATCCCACTCCATGTTAACTGAGTGAAATAAAAATAAAAACTAATTGGGATTATTATTCTGATATGTAAAGAAAATAACCTTATAGAGGTAAGGATTATCTAAATAATACCCAAGGATGTAAACTAAGTTCAATTTTTATAACAGTATTTATGGCAGAACTAGGTAGTAGATATTAGTCAAAATACAACAATAACAAATCATAGCAGTTATAAATACTTTACATATTACATGTTTTCCACACAATTTATTAAGTCTTATTGGTTTTTGAGTTGAGTTGACTTCAACATTTCCAATTCCAAGTCTTCCCAAAACATTTTCACCAAGAGCGAACACTTCATCATTTGAGGTGACCAGATATGCACTTTCAGCTTCATATCCTATTATTAAAAAAGTAATCAGTATTCATATCTAAACAGTAAAACAGAGAAATTATAATAGAAAACAGTTCCATGTTTCTACAAAGAATATCATGTGAAGCTTATTGTCAGAGACAGAACTAAGGATGGCCGTGTCTCAAAGTGAGTTTTTTTTTCTGTCTCCTTCTCCCTTTCTTCTTCATATAAAATAACCAACTTTATCTTAATACCCTAATTACTACTTTACCACCAAACATTTTTAAACTCCCTCTTAAACATTCTAAACAGAGCATAATTAAGCTCACCATAAATTAATAATTAATTTTTTTATTTAATTTGGTTGAAATACTTTCTATTATAGTGCATTTTCACAGTTCAAACACTCCAGTAATCTGAACTCGCCACAAGGAAAAAACCAGAAAAGAAAGCCAAAAAAAAAATGTCTAACGAATCCGAGCGATTTTCTAAGCTGATACACACACATTTCCTATGGTTATTTTCCAAAAATAGCTCTTCTTTAAAAAAAAAAAAATAATGGAATGAAGATGCAGTATCTCATTTATTTTTTTATTATTAATTCAATGTTTTCTTGAATTGATATATTTTTTATCTTAGTAATAGTTCCATTACGTTAGTTGTTTTCCTGAAATCAATTTATTCCGAACAATCTTCACCAACAATTGGTTTGGTTTACTGAGATTACAAAGAATATCTGTTCCATTTCCCTCACAAACTCTGTGCCTCAATGTTGTGTGCGAGTTATTTAAGCCATTATTTATTATTCTGAATTCAAAGAGTATTTCATGTTTTGTGGTGAAACATATAATTGTGAACAAATTTAATGACTAAACTTACCAAACACATGAACCAGAACAACACTGCTAAGGATTTCTTCTTTGACAGGTGCTAGAACAGCCCACTTTTTCAAATTCAAATTTTTATATTCAATCATAATCGATTCTATAAAACCTCACATCTCAAGAGAACGCTAATACATTTAATAAAAATCTTCACCAACATAATGCATTACTACAGACCTGAACACACAAAAAATACAATAAAGATTAAATAAGTCTGCAAATATAGTTACTTCTAAAATAATCTTGAATTATTTATATCAAAAAATATTTAATCGACGTTTTATGAACTATCTTGTGAGGTACAAATAAATGAAGTATTTAAAATGCAGTTTTAATATTTCCAATAAGGTACTCAGTACATAAATAAACAAACATAACATAATAGAGTAGTTACCTTACAACTAATAAAGACATTCTATTTTTAGGAATAGAATACATTATAACTCTTAACTGGCCAGATCTAACCATTACTTTACATTCTTTATTAAATCATAAACAAAATATTAGATGGAACTTGCACTTGTAATTGAATTGAATTTTCATTGACAAGCAGCACACAGTGACAGTGATAGAAATATTACTATCGAACAGTATCGATTTATGTAGCTATAATGACACAAGTCATTAAATGAAAAGAAAACATGTCTAATAGGATCACCATCGTTAAAAACAGTTATTTAAATTAGTAAAGTTTGATCTCAATTTAAAAGAGTTTAGAATAATATATAAAAAACTAAATAAACGATGATTTGTTTGTATCGATTTAATCGTACACGCTAACTTATATGTTTGTACACACTACAGGTATTATAAATTTGTATAATATTTACGATATTCCATATATATATGAAATATTATGTTTTACAATAGTCTACGTAGTACAAAAATCGTTCACAAGAAAAATGATATCAATTTCTACAAAATACAAAATCAGCGTCAATGATATTTATACTAATACCGCTGAAAATGGTTAGAAAAAGTTATAGAAAATGATGAAATAATTTTTTAATAATTAAGATTTGTCCAAATAACTGTTAAATTATTATTATATAATAATCGTTTAGAAAATGTTCTGTAATCGATTGTCAAGTAGCGCGGGATAGTCTATTGATCAGATCGCAGCATCCACTTCAATCTGGCTCTCAGTGATAAAACATATTTTCAGGTAATATGGTTTCCTTTCATTTTTCAAAGCCTCGATTTTGTTTTTATCTGTTATATGAAATATTACTGTTACTATTTTTTTACTGCAGCATTAAAATAATTTATGTATTTTTAAAAAAATAACCTTTTGGGAATGAGATGAAATCGTGTGAAAAATTATCTGTCTAAAGTATCCTAAAGAATTAATTAAAAAAATAATTTCCTTACACAACTTTTTTTCTGTCCTGTGATTTCTAAAATAATATTTGTGTTGGACGTCAAGTTTAAGCATCTTTGTTTGTATTGAAATGAGACAGAGAATAGTTGAAAATAATGGTTTATTTAATAGTTTCCAATTGCTTATATACAAATACTGATGTACTTCAACATCCTTAAAGTGAAATGTTGATGAATTTTTGTTAATTATATTACTTATATTATATTATTACTTAAAATTTTCATAAATAATATAGATGTTCGAGTTCATATTTTTAAAGATACGTACGTTATATATTTTATTCACTTTACCATTCATGACAGGAAACAAATGGTAAAACTGAAGTAGTTTTTAAATTTCTCAATAATTTGATTTTTATCAATTTCATGTTAGTTCATCCATTACTTCTTTTTGTCATGGGCATTTAGTTACCAATTTTTGTTTTCTAGTTTATCAATTAAAAATAAATAAACAATATTTAAAAAATTCTTCATGAGTCAATTAATGCCCTAGTTCCTCACAATACCCGCCTATAAAATTCTCTTGTGATTAGTCCAGTATATAAAAAACAACGAGTACAATATTTTACCCTTGAACAGATTGATTTTGTTGCAATAGGTATTGCAATATTTTGTGTCAACGTTGAAGCATAAACTTCAGTGTGCATGTGTCATTTGTACCCATTGGACACAAACCCAAACAGTGCGTGATATTGTAATTGCTATATCTCTGAGAAAGGTGGACAGTTACTTGTACCGTATTGACACCAATATTCTGTGTACTTTACATAATTGCAGTTATATCTGTTGTTGATAAAAGTCACTGGCGTCTGATCGTTTGTATTCTAGCTGGTTCCAATCAATTCATCGTTTTTATATCTTGTTCAACTCTCCTTTAAAAAATCGGTATCTGCCTAACGCATATTCATATTCATCTGGTCCTTACAATTTTGGACCGAACTATTCAGTAATCACTTCATAGATTTGAATGAGACTATTCTTGAAGATAAAATTAAAGTTGGGCTTAACATTTAGTATTGTACTGTCACGATTAAAAATATAGTTTTCATTAAGAATGTTTAACTCTTGCCTTTTTATCGTTTTATTGTGTCCATCAAAATATTCTGTCAGTCTAACTGTTGCGAAAAGATTACATTAATATGCATCGTCTGTGGACGAAACCCAAACCTTTTTATTCAAGTTCTAATTCACAAGATGTACAACAATTTATGTATGACGTAGTGTTCTTCGAACTATGGCTCTTTTACGAGCCAATCCCATATTTTATTTCCATAACTATCTGACCGTTTATATTTACATGACTCTCTTAAAACTTGACTGAAAACTGGTGCTAGTCCCATCTTCAACAGGAGTCAAAATATGGGAAACATTCTTTTAAACTTGAAATAGCTAACACTAGAGTTGATACTGCTTACACCTAGTAAAAATGGACGACGGTTATTGCATTTGCATTTCCTAATGATTGAACAAGTACCCGATAATCTTCTTGGATTTGTCTTACTTCATGGTTGTTTTATGAGTCGTTATAAATTTAATCAGTTATTGAAATCCATTTAGATTTCTAAGACGAAGTCTTCTCTAAATATTCTTATAACTCATTATGAGTTCAATTTCTTACTGAGCCTTAATTCTTGCTAACTGTGAGTTTATGTTCGTCGTTTCCAAGAAACCCTTTCACTTTCTTGGTCATGAGAAGTTCACAGTGGTTCGGCATTGGGCAGTTCGTACTTCCTCTTCCTCTGAGGAAGACTTTAATGTGTCTGTACGACCAAATTCTAGCTTTCTTCTTGCTTTTATTCAATATCTTGATGCAAATTGGCTTATATGTTTTACCTTGCTGTTCCATTCCCGTCTAAAATCTAATTTATATTCTTAAATCTTAAGGCGTTATAACTCAAGAACAGTGACGTAGTAAGCAGTACTGGGGCCTATGTAAAAATCTTGAAATTTCTCTTTTATTGGAGAAGGGAGTTATATATAACAATAATTTTTGTATTTCTCAATTCAGTAATCATTTTGGCAGCAAAATTTAAGATCATAGGGTTTATTCTGGGTTAAATTTTCTTCCTAAAACTGTAAATGTCTTTTATATGAATTTAACTGAATCTATTGTTCTAGGACGCTATAGGAACAGCGCTGATTTCAAAATTTCTAACATTGGAAGTTTACGAATGCTATCTTACGATCGCGGTGGGTCTTAACATGAGCGAAGTACAAATTAATCAAACCCTGAAACTAAGCATCTTACTTAATACCCAGCACAATAATTGCTATTTCTTATAATTATTGAAATCTCAGAAATATATTAACTAAAAATAAATATCAAACCCCGAAAGTCTAGGACTGGACCCACAGGCTCCGGGAAAATTAGTCTCCTTTATCCTCATGTTTCTAGGCCCCTGCACAAGAAGCCGCAATGAAATAGTCAGGAGATGATTTAAATCCATTTTATTTATAATAATATTTAAGAATATCTATGAAAATAATATGTGATCGGTTGAATCTGTCCATCACTATATTAGCTGATAAAATCATAAGAATAAATGGTGGTTGTTCTGATGAGTATGACTTGTTCAGAAATTTTATCCCTCAAGAACAGATTTATGGTTTGGTCGGAAATAAAATAATCAAATTAAAAGGAGCTATTTCCTGATTTTTAGTACTTCAATATTTATTGGAGAAAGTAAATCCTAAATATTCTGCAAAACAATAATAATCATTAAATGAAACAAGAACTCATATATTGTGAACCCTGTTTGGATCGTTGGTCAGAACTACATACTCTCTTATCCCTTCTAGTTTATTATAGTTTATATAGGTTTTTATAGCACTAGTTTATTACCTGTAATATATTTATTACTTGCACGGTTCATCTGACTTTTTTGTGAACTAATTTTTGTAGTAATGTGAAATATTCGACGGTTGAAAGTGCTTATAAGGTAGCTAGAGAGCTGTAAGCGTTGAACCGAATAATCGAATTCCTGCTCATCCCATCCCTACTACCCGAAACCTCTCTACAGAACCTCATTATGTCACAAATAGCATCATTCACAGCAACCTTAATATATTTTGGGCTGGTTGGCCCAAAATAGATATATTAGAAATTTATTCATAATAACCCAAAATATATTCCTTCTCAATCATTTTTTTTTTATGATCTTACATTTTATGCCATGTTATTTATTTTTCACATCTCGTCGGCGCCATGTTGAATTAATGAAAGCGCAACGTTGCGTTACTTTAACGTGGTGTCGCCAATATATGTTCGATTGAAAATTCAATATTTTTTATTGTTCATTATTATTTCTTAAGGATGAATATACGTGTTTTATATTAAGTAAGAATATTAATTATTTTCGAGAATAATAAAATCGGAGATTTAAAACGAATTAAGAAAGGAGGATGGAAGAATATATTGATGAACATCATCTGATCCTTTTTCCTCTTTCTTTCTTCTTACCTCATTCATTGGAGGAGGAGTGGAGAAGGGGAGAAGGGAGGTAGGGCGGATTCACAAAGCTTTATCAGGATCTATTGTGACAAATAGGGTTTCTGTAAGCCCCCTCTCACTCAGCTCATACTTTCTCTCTCCTTTTCAAATATTTATCTTCTCTTCTACGTCGCCTGCTTTGACAATTTTCCGAAAATCCTTTCTTTGTTGAGGATAAAGGGGCAGGTACGAGATACTTTTTTTTTTTATTTTGTTCGTGCCATAGAATTTGTTGCATATTAAAATAACATTGTTCAAAACTTATACGAATCGTAAATGATTGGTTTTCATAATCAAGTGGAAGTAT